GTTGCAATAAGTTCTCGGCTTCTCTTCGTTTGTACCCGTTTGTACCGCCGAGAATTTCGTTTCTATTATCATTATACATGCGATAATTCAATTTTACAATAAGTTCTCGGCTTCTCTTCGTTTGTACCGTGGAGAATTTGGTTTGTATCATCATTATACACGTGCTAATTGATTATTACGATAAGTTCTCAGCTTCTCATCGTTTGTACCCGTTTGTACCGCCGAGAATTTCGTTTCTATTATCATTATACATACGCTTATTGAATGTTACAATAAGTTCTCGGCTTCTCATCGTTTGTACCCGTTTGTACCGTGGAGAATTTGGTTTGTATCATCATTATACACGTGCTAATTGATTTTTACGATAAGTTCTCAGCTTCTCATCGTTTGTACCCGTTCGTACCCCCGAGAATTTCGTTTCTATTATCATTATACATACGCTAATTGAATGTTGCAATAAGTTCTCGGCTTCTCTTCGTTTGTACCCGTTTGTACCGTGGAGAATTTGGTTTGTATCATCATTATACACGTGCTAATTGATTTTTACGATAAGTTCTCAGCTTCTCATCGTTTGTACCGTGGAGAATTTGGTTTCTATCATCATTATACACGTGCTAATTGATTTTTACGATAAGTTCTCAGCTTCTCATCGTTTGTACCCGTTTGTACCGCCGAGAATTTCGTTTCTATCATTATTATACATGCGCTAATTGAATTTAACAATAAGTTCTCGGCTTCTCACCGTTTGTACCCCCGAGAACTTCGTTTCTATTATCATTATACATACGCTAATTGAACGTTACAATAAGTTCTCGGCTTGTCATCGTTTGTACCCGTTTGTACCGTGGAGAATTTGGTTTGTATCGTCATTATACACGTGCTAATTGATTTTTACGATAAGTTCTAAGCTTCTCATCGTTTGTACCCGTTTGTACCGCCGAGAATTTCGTTTCTATCATTATTCTACATGCGATAATTGAATTTTACAATAAGTTCTCGGCTTCTCACCGTTTGTACCCGTTTGTACCGCCGAGAATTTCGTTTCTATCATTATTCTACATGCGATAATTGAATTTTACAATAAGTTCTCGGCTTCTCACCGTTTGTACCCGTTTGTACCCCCGAGAATTTCGTTTCTATTATCATTATACATACGCTAATTGAACGTTACAATAAGTTCTCGGCTTCTCATCGTTTGTACTGACGAGAATTTGGTTTTTATCATCATTATACATACGCTAATTGAATGTAACAATAAGTTCTCGGCTTCTCATCGTTTGTACCCGTTTGTACCCCCGAGAATTTCGTTTCTATTATCATTATACATACGCTAATTCAATGTTACAATAAGTTCTCGGCTTCTCATCGTTTGTACCCGTTTGTACCGTGGAGAATTTAGTTTGTATCTATTTTTTTATTTATTTATTTATTTATTTATTTATTAGGAAGCCTACGTTATATACTAAGAATACATTTTTTAACTTATTATAGTTATACATAAGAAAGTGTTACAAAGTATATCACAATTACAGGCTAACTTAACATGTATAAAATAATTGTTAAACTAAGAAAAATGTTGTTGTTGTTGCTCACTTATGTTACAAAAAAAAATATAAGAAATGAAAAAACTCTAACATTTAAATAACAAAATATCCTTGTAAAAAAAAAAGTTTTAACAAAAATATAACTAAATTTTGATATTACATAAATCGTAAATACATAGATAGAAAACAATGTTTATACAAACCATGACCAAATCAAATAATAAAAAAAGAAATGGGGAAAAATATAAAACTAAGATAATCATTTACTATGTAAAAGGTATTAGGGGTTTTTTGATTGAGATAAGTTTCTAAAATAGGTTTTCAGTTTAGCCTTATAGCAGTGTAAGGAGTCATAAAATATATCAAAGTCATTTTTTGGTAAGTTATTATAACATTTTCCAGCTCTACATAGTGGGGCATTTAAACCTAAATTCGTTCTCGAGAACTGACATTTAAAACTTTGAGCATTAGTTACTCTTGCATTTGGTTTAGGAGTAATTATATTAAGTTCTTTTAATAATCTAGGGCAATCGATATCTCCTGAAATTACTTTGTGTAAAAAGCAGAGATCAGCAATATCCCTGCGATGAATTAATTTCAATATTTTATAATGTCGTAATAAATCATCATAATTGCTTACTTCATTATTAATTCGGTCTTTGTAAGATAAAAACTTTAAGAATTTCTTTTGTATTCGTTCCAATCTATTTTTATGCGTGTGATAATATGGGTTCCAAGCTATTGTACAATATTCTAACTTACTTCTTATTAATGCATTAAACAAGATTATTAATGTACTAGATTTTTTAAAGGCTTTAGTAGATCTAATTATAAACCCTAATGTCCTTAATGATTTGCTTACAGCATCATCTATATGTGGAATAAAACTCATCTTTGCGTCAACAATAATACCCAAATCTCGTGTTTGAGTAACTTTTTTAAGAGGGTAACCGTTTATACTGTAATTGTAATTAATATCACTTATTTTTCTACTAAAAGTTATGCTGTGGCATTTAAATTTATTTATTTTCATTTGATTCTCAGAACACCAAATGGCAAATCTATTTAAATCCTGTTGCAAAAGAACCGAGTCTTCAATAGTTTTTATTGTTCTATAAATTTTTAGATCATCTGCGTAAAGTTGAAAATTACTATGATGTATAACATTTACGGCATCATTGATAAAAATTTCAAATAAAATAGGACCAAGTCTCGATCCCTGAGGCACTCCGGAAGTTGAAAAAAATGTATTTGACTCATAACCTCCCAAAACAACATTCATTTCTCGATTTTGCAAATAACTTTCGATTAGTTTAAGTAATTTCCCGCTTATCCCATATTTATAAAGCTTCTGAATTAAAAAGTTGTGATCAACCACATCAAAAGCTTTCGCCAAATCTGTATAGATACAATCAACCTGTGTATTAGAATCTAATGATTTTATGATATCCTCCACAAAAGCTACCAAATTAGTAATTGTAGACCTATTTTTTATAAAACCATGTTGATTCTCTGTTATTATGGGTTTCGTGTGCCAAGTGAGAAAAGGACAAATTAATGACTCAAAAATTTTTGCGAAAACTGATAAAATACAAATGGGTCTATAATTTTCTATGCATTTTTTCTCTCCACTTTTAAAAATAGGTACAACTCTCGTTTTTTTCCAATAAGAGGGAAATTTGCCATCTTTGAGTGATTTTTGATATATCAGATAAAGTGGTTTTACTAGTGTTGATGCAGTTTTTTTGACAAAAATAGGTGGTATGTTATCAGATCCAGGCCCCTTCTTTATATCTAGAGATTCTATTTGAGTTAGTATTTTATTTTCGGTTATGGTAATTTCTGATAAAAGCGAGTTGCATGTATCATTACAATTAGTGCAGGATGTATCACTAGAAATCTTGGCGTTTTGAACATATTGTCTTGAAAAATGCTTTGCAAATTGATTACATATGTTTACTCCTCCAGTAAAATTACAATCATCTAATGTCATTAAAGCCGGGTAATCACATTTATTACTACGAAGATTTTTTATATAGGAATAGAAAAACATTGGATTTACCTTTACGTTATTTTCTACGTTTTCAATGTACTTATTATAATCGATATCTATAAGATCATTACATCTGTCTCTGAGAATTTTGAATTCAATCTCATCGAGAGGATTGCCATATTTTTTAAATAATAATCTGTACTTATTCTTTTCTTTTAATCGCTTTTTAAGATTGTGTGAAAACCAAATTGGATAGTTTTTATTATTTTTTACTTTTTTTTTCGGCACGCAAATCTCTATTATTCTACGTAATTCAGAATAGAAAATATTGACCATTTTATCAGTATCACTACAATTATAAAACAACAACTCCCAGTCTAAATTTTGAATATGTGTATTTACAATATCATAGTCTGCGTTTTTATAATTATAATTAGTAAAAGTAATTGGTTCAAAAAGTTTTTCAACTGTATTCAGATTTAAGAATATATCTAATGGAGGATGATAATTATCAACCGGACAAACACATGTGTAACTATTGGTAACCGTAATATTATCAATATTAGTAAATATTAAATCCAACATTTTACCATACATATTTTTAATACCATTACTTTGCGTCAAACTTGTAAGAGACATAAAATCCTTTATTAAACAACCAGCTGCCGAATTGGTGTGGTTCACCGTAAACTTTGTGGGTATATTACCGTCCAATACCCAGTGCAGTGCTGGTATGTTAAAATCACCAATTATTAGGGTTGTAGGTTGTTGAATAACTAGTTTTTCTGTATTTTGTATAAAAGTTTTTAATACTTCATATTTTAACGGAGATGGAATATACACCGCGCAAATAGAAATAATTGTCGAATCAATCGTAAGGTTTACCCATAGATCCTCGTATGCAGTCTCCCAAGATGTAACCCTGTAGCTTTTAATTTTATTTAAAACAGCTATTAGAACGCCTCCACCATCACTTTTTGAAGAATTACTAGATTCACGATCCCGCCTATATACCACGTACCTTTCGTCTATAAATTCGTTATTGTTAATACTGCTATTAAGCCATGTCTCTGTAAAAATAATGACATCAAAATTATCATTAAGTATGGCACGGTAAGTATCATATATTTTTGTCCTAATACCTCTTACATTTTGATACAAGATTCTTAAGCTGCTCAGCATAGATTAAAACTATTAAAAAACAATACACAAAAAATCTTAACAGATTAAATAAATAAAAAAAACTTATAAACACAATTTACTCTAAAGTTTTTAGAAAGTCTTTGGATTTTACAAATATTACGTCACTCGCAGTTGATTTTTTAAGAAATATGTTACCGTTACGTGACCAAACGTAGCGATACTGTTTTTCCTTGGCAAGGAGTCTTGCTGCTGCATATATGTCCTTAGATGCAGAAGTTAGATGTTCAGACACAAAAACAGGTGCCTTTTCCAAGATATCAGGATATTCCAAGGTGCGATGTATTCAGTTTGTCCTCGGCGTTCTTTTTATTATAGTTGATAACACCAGCCAAAAATCGATCACGTATAAGTGGAGTTGAAAACTTTACTATTACGGTGCGAGGACGAGCTGAGCTTTTATTTTGTTTTGCAACCCTTGTACATTTAGTAATGCTACCTTCAATTAGAGGAACACTTATTACTTTGCTTATTTGTTCTATTGTGTTTACAAGATTTTCATTCCTAAATTCAGGTACACAGTGTAATTCTATATTACTTGCTCTTGCTTCCTTTTCCAGACTGTTTATAACACTGCTATGGGAATTAATAATGTCTCTTAATTCACAATTGTCCTTTTTTAAGTTCAAAATTTCACTTTTCGCTTCCTCTAATTCTTGCTTAACACTGTCGTATAGATTAGAGAAATAATCTATGGATTCCTTAATGCTTTGTAAAACACTTAACTCTTCACGATTTTTTTTAAATTCAACGCTTAAAGAGTTAGTTATTATCTCTTTCACCTCTTTCGATATCAGTGACGTAGACTGTACCTGCGGTGTACTATTTTCCAAACAGTTTTGCTTATCTTTCGGTGTATTTGAGTTATTGCTGCCTTTTCGAGTATTTGAGGCACAAGCCGTACAGATCCACTGTGTTCGGGATATTACGCTGCTGTTATTATTCGATGCAACACATTCTAAGTGATAATGTGCTTGACATTTAGAACACTTAATCCTTTTTTGTGTTACCAAGATATTGCCTTTACAGATTGGGCATTCATTGGTCATTTTTAACTTTGTAAAAGATAAATTATTAAATTAAAATATTTTTCGCGTGGATTTGAACTCCCAACTCCGGCGTAAGCATCTACAGTTAACACCAAGAGACTACGAACAGGGCTAGTCGGAATGATGAAATTGCACTACCGGTGTTTCGACAAGTTTTTATTCGCTTCAATATAATAATATAAGGGGGTATTTGTGTTATTCTAACTTCTAAACTTGCACTTTTAGTAAATAAAATGACGATTTTTAACACTTTTAACTGTTCACTATGTTCTTTTTTTTTAGTAAAAAGTCACAATAAACCCCACAGTTTAACTTATTACTTTTATAAGCCACATCTAACATTTAGATACAAAAAGAATATACTTTTTAATATAGTGAGCAACAACACGTCTTAACAGAACAAATGGTGACACACATATGATGGTGATACACATATGATGGTGATACATTGTATCATCATTATACACGTGCTAATTGATTTATACGATAAGTTCTCAGCTTCTCATCGTTTGTACCCGTTTGTACCGCCGAGAATTTCGTTTCTATTATCATTATACATACGCTAATTGAATGTTGCAATAAGTTCTCGGCTTCTCTTCGTTTGTACCTGTTTGTACCGTGGAGAATTTGGATTGTATCATCATTATACACGTGCTAATTAATTTTTACGATAAGTTCTCAGCTTCTCATCGTTTGTACCCGTTTGTACAGCCGAGAATTTCGTTTCTATTATCATTATACATACGATAATTCAATTTTACAATAAGTTCTCGGCTTCTCTTCGTTTGTACCCGTTTGTACCGTGGAGAATTTGGTTTGTATCATCATTATACACGTGCTAATTGATTTTAACGATAAGTTCTCAGCTTCTCATCGTTTGTACTCATTTGTACCCCCGAGAATTTCGTTTCTATTATCATTATACATACGCTAATTAAATGTTGCAATAAGTTCTCGGCTTCTCTTCGTTTGTACCTGTTTGTACCGTGGAGAATTTGGATTGTATCATCATTATACACGTGCTAATTGATTTTTACGATAAGTTCTCAGCTTCTCATCGTTTGTACCCGTTTGTACCGCCGAGAATTTCGTTTCTATTATCATTATACATGCGATAATTCAATTTTACAATAAGTTCTCGGCTTCTCTTCGTTTGTACCCGTTTGTACCGTGGAGAATTTGGTTTGTATCATCATTATACACGTGCTAATTGATTTATACGATAAGTTCTCAGCTTCTCATCGTTTGTACCCGTTTGTACCGCCGAGAATTTCGTTTCTATTATCATTATACATACGCTAATTGAATGTTGCAATAAGTTCTCGGCTTCTCTTCGTTTGTACCTGTTTGTACCGTGGAGAATTTGGATTGTATCATCATTATACACGTGCTAATTGATTTTTACGATAAGTTCTCAGCTTCTCATCGTTTGTACCCGTTTGTACCGCCGAGAATTTCGTTTCTATTATCATTATACATGCGATAATTCAATTTTACAATAAGTTCTCGGCTTCTCATCGTTTGTACCCGTTTGTACCGTGGAGAATTTGGTTTGTATCATCATTATATACGTGCTAATTGATTTTTACGATTAGTTCTCAGCTTCTCATCGTTTGTACTCGTTTGTACCCCCGAGAATTTCGTTTCTATTATCATTATACATACGCTAATTGAATGTTGCAATAAGTTCTCGGCTTCTCTTCGTTTGTACCTGTTTGTACCGTGGAGAATTTGGTTTGTATCATCATTATACACGTGCTAATTGATTTTTACGATAAGTTCTCAGCTTCTCATCGTTTGTACCCGTTTGTACCGCCGAGAATTTCGTTTCTATTATCATTATACATGCGATAATTCAATTTTACAATAAGTTCTCGGCTTCTCTTCGTTTGTACCCGTTTGTACCGTGGAGAATTTGGTTTGTATCATCATTATACACGTGCTAATTGATTTTAACGATAAGTTCTCAGCTTCTCATCGTTTGTACTCATTTGTACCCCCGAGAATTTCGTTTCTATTATCATTATACATACGCTAATTGAATGTTACAATAAGTTCTCGGCTTCTCTTCGTTTGTACCTGTTTGTACCGTGGAGAATTTGGATTGTATCATCATTATACACGTGCTAATTGATTTTTACGATAAGTTCTCAGCTTCTCATCGTTTGTACCCGTTTGAACCGCCGAGAATTTCGTTTCTATTATCATTATACATGCGATAATTCAATTTTACAATAAGTTCTCGGCTTCTCATCGTTTGTACCCGTTTGTACCGTGGAGAATTTAGTTTGTATCATCATTATACACGTGCTAATTGATTTATACGATAAGTTCTCAGCTTCTCATCGTTTGTACCCGTTTGTACCGCCGAGAATTTCGTTTCTATTATCATTATACATACGCTAATTGAATGTTGCAATAAGTTCTCGGCTTCTCTTCGTTTGTACCTGTTTGTACCGTGGAGAATTTGGATTGTATCATCATTATACACGTGCTAATTGATTTTTACGATAAGTTCTCAGCTTCTCATCGTTTGTACCCGTTTGTACCGCCGAGAATTTCGTTTCTATTATCATTATACATGCGATAATTCAATTTTACAATAAGTTCTCGGCTTCTCATCGTTTGTACCCGTTTGTACCGTGGAGAATTTGGTTTGTATCATCATTGTATACGTGCTAATTGATTTTTACGATTAGTTCTCAGCTTCTCATCGTTTGTACTCGTTTGTACCCCCGAGAATTTCGTTTCTATTATCATTATACATACGCTAATTGAATGTTGCAATAAGTTCTCGGCTTCTCTTCGTTTGTACCTGTTTGTACCGTGGAGAATTTGGTTTGTATCATCATTATACACGTGCTAATTGATTTTTACGATAAGTTCTCAGCTTCTCATCGTTTGTACCCGTTTGTACCGCCGAGAATTTCGTTTCTATTATCATTATACATGCGATAATTCAATTTTACAATAAGTTCTCGGCTTCTCTTCGTTTGTACCCGTTTGTACCGTGGAGAATTTGGTTTGTATCATCATTATATACGTGCTAATTGATTTTTACGATAAGTTCTCAGCTTCTCATCGTTTGTACCCGTTTGTACCGCCGAGAATGTCGTTTCTATCATTATTATACATGTGATAATTGAATTTTACAATAAGTTCTCGGCTTCTCACCGTTTGTACCCGTTTGTACCCCTGAGAATTTCGTTTCTATTATCATTATACATACGCTAATTGAACGTTACAATAAGTTCTCGGCTTCTCATCGTTTGTACTGACGAGAATTTGGTTTTTATCATCATTATACATACGCTAATTGAATGTAACAATAAGTTCTCGGCTTCTCATCGTTTGTACCCGTTTGTACCCCCGAGAATTTCGTTTCTATTATCATTATACATACGCTAATTCAATGTTACAATAAGTTCTCGGCTTCTCATCGTTTGTACCCGTTTGTACCGTGGAGAATTTAGTTTGTATCATCATTATACACGTGCTAATTGATTTATACGATAAGTTCTCAGCTTCTCATCGTTTGTACCCGTTTGTACCGCCGAGAATTTCGTTTCTATTATCATTATACATACGCTAATTGAATGTTAAATAAGTTCTCGGCTTCTCATCGTTTGTACCCGTTTGTACCGTGGAGAATTTGGTTTGTATCATCATTATACACGTGCTAATTGATTATTACGATAAGTTCTCAGCTTCTCATCGTTTGTACCCGTTTGTACCGCCGAGAATTTCGTTTCTATTATCATTATACATACGCTTATTGAATGTTACAATAAGTTCTCGGCTTCTCATCGTTTGTACCCGTTTGTACCGTGGAGAATTTGGTTTGTATCATCATTATACACGTGCTAATTGATTTTTACGATAAGTTCTCAGCTTCTCATCGTTTGTACCCGTTCGTACCCCCGAGAATTTCGTTTCTATTATCATTATACATACGCTAATTGAATGTTGCAATAAGTTCTCGGCTTCTCTTCGTTTGTACCCGTTTGTACCGTGGAGAATTTGGTTTGTATCATCATTATACACGTGCTAATTGATTTTTACGATAAGTTCTCAGCTTCTCATCGTTTGTACCCGTTTGTACCGTGGAGAATTTGGTTTCTATCATCATTATACACGTGCTTATTGATTTTTACGATAAGTTCTCAGCTTCTCATCGTTTGTACCCATTTGTACCGCCGAGAATTTCGTTTCTATCATTATTATACATGCGCTAATTGAATTTTACAATAAGTTCTCGGCTTCTCACCGTTTGTACCCCCGAGAACTTCGTTTCTATTATCATTATACATACGCTAATTGAACGTTACAATAAGTTCTCGGCTTGTCATCGTTTGTACCCGTTTGTACCGTGGAGAATTTGGTTTGTATCGTCATTATACACGTGCTAATTGATTTTTACGATAAGTTCTAAGCTTCTCATCGTTTGTTCCCGTTTGTACCGCCGAGAATTTCGTTTCTATCATTATTCTACATGCGATAATTGAATTTTACAATAAGTTCTCGGCTTCTCACCGTTTGTACCCGTTTGTACCGCCGAGAATTTCGTTTCTATCATTATTATACATGTGATAATTGAATTTTACAATAAGTTCTCGGCTTCTCACCGTTTGTACCCGTTTGTACCTCCGAGAATTTCGTTGTTATTATCATTATACATACGCTAATTGAACGTTACAATAAGTTCTTTGCTTGTCATCGTTTGTACCCGTTTATACCGCAGAGATTTTTTGTAGGGAAATAAAATTATGTACATATATTTATAAACATGATATTTTTTTATTTATGTATATTTTTTCAGTTCTAATAATCGTATAATCCTTTACAAACGATATACTTCCAGTTGGCATCAACAAACATGTCGTATTTTTAGGTTAGCTGTGAACCATATATATTTTCGCACCCCTATATTTCTCACCCCTTTGAGGTACAAACGATTTTAAGGGCGGTACAATCCAGTACAAACGATATGCTTCCAATTGGCATCAACAAAAATGTCGTATTTTTAGGTTGGCTGTGAACCATATATATTTTCGCACCCCTATATTTCTCATCCCTTTGAGGTACAAACGATTTTAAGGGCGGTACAATCCAGTACAAACGATATGCTTCCAATTGGCATCAACAAAAATGTCGTATTTTTAGGTTGGCTGTGAACCATATATATTTTCGCACCCCTATATTTCTCACCCCTTTGAGGTACAAACGATTTTAAGGGCGGTACAATCCAGTACAAACGATATGCTTCCAATTGGCATCAACAAAAATGTCGTATTTTTAGGTTGGCTGTGAACCATATATATATATATATTCGAACCCCCATATTGCTCACCCCTTTGAGGTACAAACGATTTAAAAAGCGGTACAATCCGGTACAAACGTAGTATAATCGAATAGAATTGATAAAAACTAATTATTGCTTAGTCAGTTTCTAACTTCACATAGGTAGCTTAATATGCATATTTCATTTTAATGTTTTGTTACGGCTAGTATATATTGTGTAGTTTTTGTATTACGAGACAGTCGCTCACAGTCGCTTATAGTCGCTCGACAGCCGTGGTATTAAATAGACAATAAATATTAATTATAATAATTGGACTACAGTATATTTTATTGCCCGCACAAACATAGTTTCTAAACTGGTGAACCCGACGTGATGAACATAGTGCGTTGTGATAGAACAGTGACTGTTTAGACTAGTGATTTTTTTTTCTTTTTTAATAAATTACTATTATTACTATTATTAAATATTTTTTAATAATTACTCACAAAGAAATATGTTAAATACTCAGACCACGCAGTTCGTAAGTGGACAAGCAATGCCACCGGTTATAAAAAAAGATTTCCAAAAGCTCGTTTCTGAATTAGAGCTGGGTTGCTCAGAAGCCTACGCACTTATTACGCCGCATGAAGGAGTTAGGCCGTCCAGCACGAGTCTCGGATCAGACATTGAAGAGCCTCTGGCTGTCACGTATGCCATCCTCAGTCAGAGCAGTCATCGCAGTATGCCATTGCGGACAAAATCGTTGAGATTAGCAGATCCTACGAAATTGCCACAGTGAATGACAGCATAGCCTAGGTGTCACCAGAACCGCTGTCAGAGCTGGTCAACCAGATGAACAAACTTGCGTTACAGGTAGCATCGTTGCGCAATGAGGCACAGCAAAGCAGGCGCTCTAGGAGCAGAAGCGGACCAAGCTACAGGAGCAGGTCCCGTTCCCGTAAGCGCAGGGCACCGGGAGACCCAGGATGGCTGTGCAGGTTCCACCACACAACATACACGAGCAAGGCGACCCGCTGCGAGCAGCCGTGCGCCTGGCGAACAGATGAGCCGGGAAACTAAGCACTGTACCTCCGGATTCGGTGGGATGATGTAAGCAAGCACAGGTAGCAACAAACCATCGCTTATTAATTAATGATAGTTCAACTAAGCTTACTTTTTTAATAGATACTGGAGCTAGTATCTCAGTTATTCCAAAATAAGGATGATTTATGCTAGACCGTGCCGGGCACGAGCCGAGCTCCGTACGAGGCACAGACGACGCACGGATTCAAAACTTTACATACAATTTAGGGCTCTTTCAATTTATGCGTTTCGTATCGGACCGCTGCAGTGCCGAAGCGGTGCGTTTGTCGTTCGGCGCACGGCCGGTCGTTTGTTTTCATACAAAATGCACGGTGCGGCAACAGCGCGGCGTCCGTACCGCGAACGCTCGACAGCAGCACGGCAACGTCGCAAGCCCCACGTGTTCAGTTCAGTGCGTTCGTAGTGCGGTGACTAGACGTGAGGCTAATTTATTATTTATAAAATGGATGATATAAATGTGGAAGATTTTATAAATGAAATTGAAATACGTCCTGCTATATGGAACTCCAAAAGTGACAAACACAGTAATCGGACGGAAACAAAAAATGCTTGGGAAGGTATTTGTGAAAAATTTATAGAGGATTTCAAAAATAAAACTACTGGTGAAAAAAACTCAGCAGGTAACTTTTTATTTAAATCATATTTTGTTATTTTGCCAGGATAATTGTCCTTCGTTAACAAAGTATTCAGCAAATTTATCACGAACTGATGTTGCTGTCAAATTTTGTTCATTTTGAACCACCTGAGCCGTCCGCCTGTCTTGAATTAATAGATTACTATTAGACATTTCGCCACAGTCACGTGATAAGAAATTATGTAAAACACAGATAGATTGAACAATATCTGTCGCGAACGATACATCTACATTTATTGGTCGATGTAATATTCGCCATTTATTAGTCATAATTCCGAACGTACACTCTATGTATCTTCGAGCACGTGATAAGCGGTATTTAAAATTTTTTTGTTGTTTATTCAAATAATTGCCACTATAGGGGGCGTTGTATGAAATGACTGATGCCAAATGCTTCATCACCGACAAAAACAAACGGCAGTGGTAAACCATTTTCTGTTATTGGCGTAGAACTTGGTATATTTAAACTGTTGTCTTGAAGTTTCTTGAAGAAGTCACTGTCTTTAAATATTTGTGAATCTGATGCTTTGCCATATGAACCAACATCGATGAAAATGAATTTGTAATTTGAATCACAAATGGCCAATAATACAATAGAGAAAAACTTTTTATAGTTGTAATAAAGCGAACCGCTTTTAGGTGGCTTAATTATTCTTACATGTTTCCCATCTATAGCGCCCAAACAATTAGGGAAGTTTGCATTAGTTGCAAAACCTTGTGCGATTTTTACCCAATCTTCTTTTTTCAGTTCAGGTAAACAAATTTCTCGTAGGGTTTTGTAAATCTGTTGACACGTATCTTTCACAATTCCAGAAATAGTTGATATTCCATGTTGATAAGAATGATGCAATTCAGTCATACTGCGACCAGCGGATAAATACCTGCAATAATATTAATATTACTTTTTATTTCAGCAATGGTACTTCAAAAGAAATGGAGACATATAAGAGATGCATATACAAGAGACTTGAAAAAGCAGCGAGAATCAAAAAGTGGATCCGAAGCAAAAAGACAACGAAAATATGTTTATTTTGATCGACTGCAATTTTGGTCGGAACTGTATGAAATAAAACCAGATTCAAAAGAAAAAAATAAACAAATTTGTAACGATTCTACTGCGTCAACATCGAAAAATAAAACTAAGAGTTCATCTGCCGACGATAACAACGAAACTAATGCGCTTTTAAAAATACTTGCAGAAAGAATACAGAATAAAAAAAATGCAAGACAAGATGATTCCGAAGATGGGGATAGATATTTTTTATTGTCTTTATTAAACGACTTTAAGAGGATCCCGGAAAGTCGTAAAATGGATGCCAAATACGACATAATAGGAATAATTCGAAAATACGCGACGCCACAACCGTATACTCGTGATAATTATTCGGAATTTTATGAACAACAACGCGGCTACTTTACGAATCCATCTCCAGGATCTCAAACACAAACATCTAATAATCAGCTTCAGTCTACAGCAGAGGAAATTGCAGCAATCTCATCCATATCTAATTTGAGTGAAGATTCGGAAAGTTCCATATATAATGATCTTTTTACAGACGATATTCCCACATAATTTTTGCGAATTTACAGACAGTGACGCAATGTAGCACATCAGCGGCACCGTCTGGCGTGTGTCAGCTTATTTAAAAACCCTATTTCGTATTTAATTATTGATTTACTAAACTAATTAGTAATTAGATTCGTCTCAATATTATTTTGTAACTAAAAAAATACATAAAAAGATGAGCTGTTTAATTTACTTACCTCAATGTTAACAGTAGTCGTTCTTTAGCTGATATAGTATGTTTGAATATAGTTTCTTGCCGCTGAATTTTACTTTTAACTAATTCCAGTAATTCGAAGGAACATTCTCTAGGCATTCTTAAGTAATTAAAAAAACTGCTTGGGTCTTCTTTTAACCTAGGGTAAAGAGTATGGAAATCACCAAAATCACATGTTAACGAAAACATCGGTGATGCTCTTTTACGGAGGCGTGGTTTTTGGTTTTTTTTTGTTTGATAATTTTCAACAAGAGCACTAACAGTATTGTTTCTTCGTCAGAGTCCATGGCTTAACTGGTGTCAAATAAATTTAAAACAGCACTAGCATACAAACGCACGGCAGTCAGATACGCTTTCAATTTAAGCGTTTGGTAACGGACTTCTACCGTACTGCAACGGCACGTCCAGCGGGTTATAACTAGTAGCACGGAAAACGTGCGGCAGCGGTCCGATAGGAAACGCATAAATTGAAAGAGCCCTTATATGATACTGTTCATGCTACAGCGTGCCGCGTCCGCGTCACGGACGAGGCTCGGACGTGCCCAGACGACGCACGGTTCCGACCCGCGCCGTTTTCGACTCGTCGTAATATGAACACTCTTCCGTGCCGTGTACGAGCAGTGATCGACGAATGTTTAGGGAGGAATAATCTTTTAATAACAAGTACATAATGGACGATGAAAAATTAATAGGGAATGTTAGATAGTACCCAGTACTTTATGATATGACAAATAATAAATATTTAGATTCCAAGTACAAGGCATGGATATGGAATTTAATAGCAAGTGAAATAAATGAAACAAGTAAGTAAAGTTACTTTTTATAACTACACTGGCCTGCAAAAAAATCGGGCCACCTAGAGAAAATGGACAAACTTAAGATATGATATTTTTTTATTAATTTTGTTATTATATATGGGTAGCTGTATACCCTAGGTACCTAAATCAATAATCGTTGAATAATTTAAATAAAAATAGAGGAAAATCAAATTTAATGATTTTTCGCGAGTTTGTTATAAAAATGTAAGCCGCAAATTAATGGGAAAAATAAAAGATTTCGATTGGTTTTATGATTTTTAATAATGAGTATTACCGCCTCTATTTTTAATTACAGCTTTTAATCAGTTTTTCAGAGATTTGACACACTTTTTTAGATAATCTTGTGTAATAGACTCCCATTCTTCCAATATGCGCTTTTTAATTCTTGAATTTTGCTCGAGACTACTACGCGACTTCTAACTTTTCTTCCTTGACTTCTGACTTCTTCCCGCATAGTGCATGGTGCATATCTTTCACCTGGTCGCCGGTAAACAAAATTACGGCCGTCGGCACAATGCAAACACATACTGCTTTCGTCAGTAATAAGAGCCTTCTTCCACTGCTCCAAATTCCAATTCACGTGATCTCGGGCAAAAGTAATCTTGCAATTCGATGTGCAGGGGTGAGTTTGGGGCCAGTTGCGGACTTGCGTGGCGTCATGGAAGCGGCTCTAAGTCGGCGCCTTACTGTCCACTCGCTAACATTAAAACCTCTCACTTCTCTTAGAAGATTTCGAACGTCAACCCCTGTGCGATGACGATTTCTTAGAGCTGATAACACAATAAATCGATCATCACGCTCTGATGAGGCTCTTTGTCGGCCAGAATCATGTCGTCGTACAAAGCCACCAGTTTTTATGTAACGTTTGTACACTCTCTGGACCGCAGAACGGCTCACAGAAAAAGCTTGACCCACTTGACGTTGACTTTGTCCAGTTTCAAGCAAAGTCACAATTAGAGATGATTCAGCCTCGGTCAGATCCATCTTGCAGTATTTCTAATAATCGCAGATAAAAGTAGAAGTGTCTTGTTCAATAATTGGAACTCAACTAAGCTTCTAAAAATAACAAAAAACAGTATTTGTGGCTTCAATCCATATTATGCAAATATTCACTAATTACTGCTATTTGACTATAATTAAGTGCACACGTGCATTTCCAGGAATTTTATGACTTTTTTGAAGGAAACAAAGGCGTCTTATCTCCTTAATTACTGTTTGGGCCATTTTTGCCGTTCTTACCGTTCGGCAGAATGCTTATGACGTACGAGGGAATGCACGACCCTTGTTGTTGTTTATACTCGTGCGCAGCAACCGCGCCCTCTCTCTCGACCATTAGCTCGCGACGTGGATGGACGTAATCTACTTTTATAATAACCGCTAAGGTGTGGCTATAAGTTCGCGTGTGGCCTTTGTACGGCCGCTGAATTATTTTTACCGCTGCAGCAGTGTTTTAGCACTGGTGCACCCGACCCTTGGGAATCCCAGGCGCCTGGAACGCGCGGGAGAAGAAGACACACAGGTGAGTGCTTTTCTCTTTTGCGTTAGGGTATCCTTGCCGACGGGGGATCGGGGAAAGTGGCCTTTAGTTGAACTGCGTACCGAGGGCACGTGAACCACCCTTACCTTCCTTGAAACTGCCTTCGAGGGTGGTGTTTGCGATTGGCGCGCACAATTACCTTTGCGGTATTTTTTTTTCACCAAACAATTGTCAACAAAAAATTATGCTTAAAGTTAAGGGTGGCTCGATTTTTTTGCACGCCAGTGTATTTATTTATTTAAAAGTATTACAATAATCTACCTGTAGTATATATAAAAATCAATATGTATGGACCTGTGTATATGGAATATGTATGGTATGGACCGTATTAATAATAATAATATCATTTAATCATTTATATCGATCATTACAATCATATTGAATTTTTTTTTTATTTTGTTAGGGGTGAGTTTGGGTGTTTGAGTTTGAGTGAGTTTGAGTGAGGGGTAGTTTAAGTATAAAGAAAATAAAGAAAACGCAAAAAAAAACATCTGGAACGTAGAAAAGTTTAGAACTCTTGTTTTATACGGGAATCACTAATCGTTAAAATGTACCTAGGGACGAACCCAAACGAAGTGAACCCGGGTGCGTCGCTTGTATAACTAATAAATGGCTGTCGTCTATAGAACTTATCTAATTACATTAAATACGTCCGACAGAAGATGAGAAATAATTTTTAAATTTTTCTCGAACTAAAAATGCATCTTGTGTTGATCGTCTTCCTCCATGATTACTTCGGTTGATTGTTTCAAGTATGGATCCTCTGAGCACCGATGGAGACAGTTGTGTATTACTTGGTATATACGTCATGTCGTTTTGGTAGCGCAAGAAGTTGTGAAGTGTACAAGCTGCCAATACGATATAATCGACATTTTTAGGCGCCAATTTTATTCTTCTGAAAAATATCCTAAATCTTTGTGCTAAAATGCCAAAGGCATTCTCAACTAAACGTCGTGCCAATGACAATCTATAATTGAAGTATGTTTTATCAGAATCTCCTGTTGACTGGTTACCTGAATAATGTCGCAATAAATAAGTTTTCAAGGGAAACGCTTCATCTGCAACTATTACGTATGGTGCAATCGTATTAGAGTTAGGTAATTGTCTCTCAAGAGGTACATTTAGAGTACCGTTTTCTAGACGTTGGCCTAAAAAAGATTTAGCAAAAATACCACCATCACTATTTCTACCGTAAGACCCAACATCAACCATAATAAATTTATAACGCGCGTCTACAAGCGCTAGGAGTATGGTAGAGAAACTGTTTTTAAAGTTATAAAAAATAGATCTACTATTAGGAGGTGCCACAATAACACAATGTTTCCCATCTAAGGCACCAATACAATTTGTAAAATTCCATAAACTTTCGAAGTCATGTGCTATCTCCTTCCATTTCTCCTCTGTTGGTTGTGGCATTACTTCTCTCATAAGTATTTTGACAATAGCACGACATGTGCTGTTAACAATTTTATGGACTGTAGTATGACCCAACCGGCAACTGTGTGAGATGAAGAAGTAGGAATCTCCAGTTGCTAAATATCTGCAAGAAATATAAAAAAAAACAATGTCAATACATTGTATTGTATTTTTTTCTGTATAGTATTTTTTTTTTTATAAATCTATTTTTTGATTTTTTTTGTTTTTTTTTTGCCCTGTATTTTTAATTTTAAATATAATCACACATTTTGTAAATTTGTTCTAGGTAAAGCTTGTAAAAGTAGGTGGACAAATATAAGAGATCAGTTTAAGAGAACTCTTAATAAACGCAAGAATACAAGTGGTTATGCTACAATAAATGTAAAAAATACAAATATACAAAAGTGCTTGAATTGTTTTTACCTCATGTACAGGACAGAAACACAAAAACAAATATTGAATACGACAGCGTTTCTGAAGAGAGTCCACATGATATGGAGATCAACGAAAATGCAGAAAATCACGATCATGATGCCCCAATCACAACCTCAGAAGACAATCAACTTCAAAGTTCTCTGTCAATCTTGCCGCAAAATACAACTCAAGTGAACCAATCACAAAGACGTAAGCGTCGCCAAAACCAAGTGTCGTTTGCACAATCTTCGGCTTCCGCTTCACAAACTTTAATGGAAAACATTATTAAAAATAAACAAAATGCAGAAAACATTCATCCAATAGACGCTTTTTTCAAGGGTTTGGCACCTAAAATAAAATGATTTTCTCCTTATCATCAACATCTCGCAAGAGGAAGAATATTTCAAGATGTGCAAGAACTAGAATGGGAGCTCATCTGAATCTAATAATTCATTTATATAAAATTCATCGCCAATGTCAACAATTTCTGCACCATCGCAATCTACCTCAAGTACACCGCCACCGCCGCCGTCGCAGTCACCAGCCCCAATACATTTAGATTCGCAGATTCCTGACCCAATGCCTTCAACATTATTTATGCCGCTGCCGTTACTTTAGTCGCAGATATTAACACAACAACCACTTGATGATGAACCAACACACAATTCTACAGCAACAGACATATCAACATTCTTGGAACAATTTAAAGAATAATACTAATCTAGACGAATGAATATTTGAAAAATACATGAATAAATATTTGTTTTTATTATCTTTTCTTTATTTTGGTGCCCCGGAATTTCGGCATTATCAGACATTTTGTTTTAATTAACTTGTAACTTGTTTAAACAAACTTTACGTAGATACTCTACTTTTATTTATATTAATAAATATTCATTGCATTTATAATATTTACATATTATTTGATTACCTAAATCGTATTATATTCTTACCTGATACATACTGCTAATCTTTCTTCAGGTGTTATTGGTGACTGAAATTTTGTCTGCTGTCTTTTAAGGGCAGCCGATAACTTATGTAGTAAGATTTGAAAGTTATCTTTAGAAATTCTAAAACATCCAAAGAATTTGTCTTCATTATCAGGTAAATCTCTACATAGGGTAAAAAATTCTCCTTCATAACGGCGCTTTCTCCAAATAGGGTACACTCCCCATTTTCTTACATTTTTTCTTCCATTTCTACTTGCTGTTGATTCCTCTTCATCAATGGCGATGGCAATAGCTACAATCTCCTATAGCGAAAAATCCATTATTTATTAATATGTATTTGTGTTAACTAAATGTGAAGTCACAACACTCCGTTCACTGCGGCGGCGTAATGACTCGGCGAATACTCGTTATAATACTCTCGTGAGCAAAAAAATCGACTCAGACGACACATCTGTAGTCGCAAGTCACTGGAAAAAAAACTGAAAGCAAATATATTTTTTTCATAGTAAAATCTTAAAGCTGCTAGTATTAGCTTCAAAATGATATAAAATATTGTAAGGTTTGCTCACACAACCCAACAATATGTTGTGATCAGTAACCACCCTTTTTACGCTTGTTTACAATAGTGCTAATTAAGGGTTAATGACCCATATAAAAGGTTATCTACCTGACCCACCCTTATCAGTTAGCCGTCAAACGTCAACCGATACACATCTCCGTTATCAACAATCAAGAATTCTACCTGAAAATGGACACAACAAGCGATTTAGCAGCTCAAGCGATCACCCTATTGCGACAAGGCCAGAGTCAGCGTGAAGTGGCACGTGCACTGAACATGAGCCAGTCTGCTGTTTCCAGAGTTTACCGTCGTTACCAGGAGACTGATGGCTTTAATCGAAGATGCTGTTCCGGTAGAAAAAGGTGCACATCAGAGAGAGATGACCGATTTATTGTCAGCACATCGTTAAAGAAATCGAGCCCTCACTGGCGTCCAACAAGAGCTCAGAGAAACGCGAGGAGTAGCTGTGAGTGGCTGGACAGTCAGAAGACGACTTAAGGCAGCTAGGCTTGAGCCAAAAAGGCCAGCTACTGGCCCCAAATTAACCCCAGACCACCGAGCAGCCCACCTACGTTTTGCTAGAGAACATGTTGATTGGACTGACGAGCAATGGAGCACCGTTCTCTTCTCAGACGAAAGTAGAGTGTGCTTGCATGGTAGTGATAGAAGAGGACGAGTCTACAGAAGACCTGGGGAATGATTCGCGCAGTGCTGTATCAAAGAAAATGTTGCTTTTGTAGGAGGTTCCTGGATGGTGTGGGCCGGCATTTCAAGCGAGGCAAAACCGAGGTGGTTTTTATTGAAACTGGCGGTCGAATGGGAGGATTGACGGCGATCCGATACATCGAAGAGATTTTAGAGGATCACGTCGTTCCCTACGCCGGTTTCATTGGCGAAAACTTCGTCCTAATGCACGACAATGCCCGTCCACATACTGCAAGTTCCGTCCTGCAGTATTTACAGGAGGTCGCAATTGCCGCTATGGACTGGCCAGCGCGTAGCCCGGACTTAAATCCTATCGAGCATTTGTGGGATGATCTTAAAAGAAAAGTTCGGGCTAGAAATCCTGCACCAGACACGATGGCGGACCTCAAAGCAACACTAAATATAAAAAAATAATTTTAATTAAATTATTGTTTTGACGAATTTTACGTGGTATTTTCTTTACCGTCAACCATCACTTTTTTATTGCTTAAGATTCCACCTCATTCAATATTTTTTCTTTACCAGAAAACATTTTTTAATAACAACATAGACCACTCATTTTAAAGCTAAAACAAAGAACTTTGAGATGTTAAAATCAGAAATATAATAAAAGCTTCCGATTTTTTGCTAAAACTTTTTAACCGCAAGCGTGCGTCCTGAGTCGATTTCTTTGCTCACGAGTGTATAAACATGTAGCACGTACGGGGCTCGAACGACTCGAACACGGCTCGGACTCGGCACGATTTAGCATAAATCATCCTATATTGTGTCAAAAACCGTATAATATCTAGGTTATGTAATTTTAAATTGTATGCCGCTAATGATAGCGAGATTAAAACATATGGAATATATTATTTAGATATTACTTTTGGACTGAGACGTGTATTTAAATGGCCCTTTATCGTGTGTGATGTGAAGCAACCGATAATCAGGGAAGATTTTTTAAGAAATTTTAAGTTAGCTGTAGATTTATATAATAATAGATTGGTAGATTTAGAAACTAACTTGTACGTTTGTGGATCAAAAACTTTAAAGGGTGACGTAACAATAAAATCTATTAATAGTAGTCATCCATACGCGGATTTGTTAGAGTCATTCCAAGAAATCACCCGACCCCCTACGTTCAAGGACATCCCAGAGCACGCCGTTTATCATCACATCGAGACGACGGGCCCCCCAGTGCACGCTCGAGCTAGGAGGCTGCCACCAGGTAGGTATGATAAAGTTAAGAAAGAGTTCGAGTTGATGCAAGGCTTAGGGATATGTAGGCCGTCAAAATGCGCATGGGCAAGTCCTTTACATGTAGTACCGAAAAAGTGTGGCGATATTCGACCTTACGGTGACTATAGAATGCTTAATTCCATAACCAAGCCGGATCGTTATCCCATTCCCAGAGTGCAGGATTTTACTTTTGGATTATTTGGTAAAAAAGTTTTTTCTGAAATAGATATTTGTAGAGCCTACCATTTTATTAAAAATAGACCAGAAGATGTAGAAAAGACAGCCATTATTACCCCATTCGGGCTCTATGAATTCCCTGGAATGACCTTCGGCTTAAGAAACGCCGCGCAAACTTTCCAAAGGTTTATAAATAACACAATATTAGCAGGTATAGAACAATTAAATTATAATAATAGTAGTAATGAAAATAATCATAACAAAGTCACAGGACAGTCATTTGTATTCGGATACTTGTATGACGTCATCGTAGCGTCAGATAACGCCACTGTACACAAGGAACACTTGCGTTTGTTATTCTATCGTTTTAATAAATATAAAATGTCAATTAATTTAGGAAAATGTGTCTTTGGACAGTCTAAAATAGATTTTCTAGGTTACGAGGTCACGGAAAATGGTATTAGTCCTTTGCCCGACAAGGTTAAGACCATTGATACTTATCCAAAACCGGAAACGATCGAGCAACTTCGTAGATTCTTAGGAATGTTAAATTTCTACAGAAATCACATACCTAATGCAGCAAAAGTGCAAGGAATCTTAGATAGGTATTTACATGGAGCGAAAAAGCGAGATAAAAGTAGGATAGAATGGACAGAGGAGGCATCTAAGGCATTCGAAATGTTTTTTTTTTAAATGTAAATTTTAACATTATGATAGTATTTTTTTTCAGAAGGGGGTGTATGTAGGGTTAAGCAATTTATGTAAGCTTAATATGCATATTTCATTTTAATGTTTTGTTACGGCTAGTATATAGTGTAGTTTTTGTATTACGAGACAGTCGCTCACAGTCGCTCGACAGCCGTGGTATTAAATAGACAATAAATATTAATTATAATAATTTGACTACAGTATATTTTATTGCCCGCACAAACATAGTTCCTAAAACTTTTTCTTGTAAAATAGGTTAATGGTTGGGCCACATGGGAAACCTCCGGGATGAACTTACGAAACCAAGATGTAGTCAGAAGGAAACTTTGAGTTCCTTCATGTTAGTAGGCGACTTCATTGCTACTACTGCTGCCACTTTGGCAGGATTCGGTTCAATTCCATTGGTTGATATCACATGACCATGGTTGTGTCGAGAGAGAAATGAGAACAGTAGTAGAAGCAGCCAGAACAATGCTGTTAGAAAGTGGCCTAAATAAAAATCTATGGGCTGAAGCTATAAATACTGCTGTGTTTGTATTAAATATAACTGGACCAAGTCGCTTGAAAAATAAAACTCCTTATGAACTATGGTGGAACAAAAAATATGATAACACAAAAGTGTTTGGTTCACAAGTGGCCGTACATGTGCCTGACCGAAAACGATTAAAATTTGATAGCAAGGCTGAACTTTGTTATTGGAGAAAACACGAAAGGATACAGAATCTACTTACCAGAAAAGAACAATGTGGAGTGATAAAAAAAGATATAATATTTTTCAAGGAACCTATAGAAATAAAGAAAAAAGATACACAAAACATAAAATATTTGCCTGAATAGGGGATCGGACTATTTTTCAGAAAGTGTTTTAAATTAATCTTCATGGATATTTATTCACATAAAAAAATAAATTTAATTTATTTATAGCCTTTTAGGTACTCAAAATCATGTTTTAATATTGTTTGTTTAAAAATACCGCCAAAACGACACGTTATACGCGTGACGTCACTTGTAAATGTCATCAATATTATTGTTCTGTGGTCATCATTCATAACATAAACAAAACGACAGTATGAACATACTTTTGGTTTCGGAGCGTTTTGAAAACTATTTATACTAACTTAAAATTAAATTAAGAAAAAAAATTAAACTAAATGTGAGACATGTAGCCGATTTGAGGCTTCTTTAATATCTGAATACATACTCGGCCGGCGGATGCCGGGTGGGCCGACCAGACGCTGAGTTTGCGTCTCTCTTATTCTATGAAAATCTTAATCTAGAGCGGATGGACGAGGTGTAACCATAACTCCTCCATCCCTAAGAGGAAAATTATCGGAAGGATCGATTTGAGATTCTTTCCGATAATTTTGCTTAAATGATAAACATATTGGCGATTTTAGCCAAATTATATAAAATATTAAGAAAAAAAGACTTAAAATTATTAACACAAATGTTACGTAACCTAAGATTTCACTGAATTTATTGTCCTTCTTATTATTTAAAACACTTTTAATTACCGCACTGTTTCAACGAAAAGGCCATATATTTCACTTTATCAAAACTAATTCCTTTCATGTTGAGTACACTTGAGCTAGATAGAGTCATATCCGTTTTGAATTGGGGTAGTGTTATAATTGGAATCTTCTTAATGACATTTGATTCTATTAGAATCTATTAGTTCTATGGTGGAAGCGAACTCCATGAATCACAGTGAGGTCACAAGGTTCATCGATAGTCATCAGGTAAGTGCCAAATAGAAATTGCTTACTGACCTCATGGCCGCGTTGCTTGGTCAGTGTTTTGTACTGTAGAGGAGCCAGCCAACTGAATACCTGCTGAATCTTAACTTCATTGATCTGGACCTGATGCTGCTTATGGGAGTCAGGTCGTCATGAGCTGTTCTATACAGGTATGTTCATAATATAAAGCTCGATTATCTGCAGTGCATAGGAATTGATCGCTGGTTGACAATGAACGACATGATTTAACAAGTGGTAAGTACTTTAATAATTTCGCCAAAAGGTAAGGATATTTAGGAATATGGCTAGAGTTTTGTTTTCCGGTTCATGAAAAATTGCTAATGAATATATCTTAAAATAATTATACGTTAAGTTAAGCTTATAGAATTAAAAATTAAATTTAAATGATATAAACGATTATGAAAGCAAACAGAGTTCTGGTTCATGGTTTCAGTTACATTAATGAAACTATCAAACATTTTAGAGACTATTGTCAGTTTCTTTGAAATAATAATTTGGTTATGATTTAAATTAGAGATAAGTTCATCGTACTTAACCGCGTCATCATGATCCAGATTACTAGTTATTATTTTATGACTGAGCCCAAAGGATTTATAAGACCTCTCCTAGAACGTTTCTGTAGGACTAATTGTCCGTATTTTTCTATTGTTATATCGCGTATAAAATCTGTATGAATCTTATTACTTGTTAGTTCTTGAGAGTATTATGCATTTTTTTGGTAATTTGTGAGAACGTTATCCAAATCGTTATAAGTTTGTTCTAAACTTACAAGTTTGACTATAGTCCAATGATCGGTCTGAATGTATGCTTGACCTTCCTTTACCTGAAATTTCTGGGTTTTCTCTAAGTTTTTGAAAATGAAGGGCCTGCGACTGCATCGCTACTAGCATGACGCAGCAGAACTTGTGGAGGACGTTTAACGTTTTTAATAGGAGTTTTGGTGATCCTGTCTCCTACTTTTAGGGGTAAGATATTTCTCTCAGAACGTCCTATAACCTTTGCTTTTACATATCTTGGTTTATCTTTACTTTTACGCTTGTTAACATCCTTTGCAAAAACAATTTCTCCTTCAGGAAACTCAATATTAGCTTCACCACCCTCCTTTTCCCTAACCTTTTTCTTTATTGCTACCATCTTATCTGTTAAATGTTCGTACAATACTTTGATCCGTTTCGCATGGTCTTTAACCACTTCCTGAAAGTAATGTTTTTCTAACTCTACACTATACGGGCTACTTGCATCCGTGTGTCCAAAAACAACCTCAAATGGAGTCAGTTCGGTAACGGAATGAATGGAATGGTTGTATGCCATAACCGAATAAGTCATAACAGATGCAGCATCGGTACACCGCTTTTCATATTTGGTTAATCTATATATTTCAATCAAAGTAGAGTGAAAACGCTCTATTAAACCCATTGAGTTTGGGTTATTGGGTGTGCCAATGTGGAGTTCAATTTTATGTAGACTTAAAAATTCTTTTAATAATGCGTTGTTAAATTCGGTGCCGGAATCCGAACTAATTTTATTTGGTATGCCGTAAAATGAGAAGTATTTTACCAAAGCACGGACCACCTCAGGGGTTGACTTGTTTTGAACTTCAATGGCTTGACCTAGTTTGCTAAATGTGTCAATAAGAGTCAGATAAGTTTTTCCTTCAATGCTAAAAAGATCTATAAATAATTCCTGGAATGGGGCATCCTGGGTTTTTGTCAGCTGTAGACTAGGTTTAATGGGCTTTCTATCATATTTCATTTTCCGGCATGCTTCGCAACTATTTATAACTGCTGTAACTGTTTCCTGCATTCTATCCCAGTAGTAATTTCTACGAATCCTAACTAAAGTCTCCTTAATGCCCCGGTAACACGTCTTTCCTTCATGATGTTTACTTATTATAGCTCTCTGTTCTTCTTCATTCTCAACATATACTACCCGTTCTGTGCATTCATAAAAATTTACTATACCTTCCTCAAAAAGCTGAATAATTATATTACTGAATAATTTTCGATGTTCCTTTTCTTTAAAATAAATGAAATACTTTATTTTCGGTTTTATATATTGTTTTAAAAATTCTTTTATTAATTCAGGATTGTCTGTTGGTAAGAAAACTTCTAATATTTTCTGTTTGTCACGCGATAGATCTGTTACTTTCATATCGTTTTTGAACCATGCAAAAACTAGAATCTGGTTAGGTTTGGTGTCTATGGCCTCATTCAAAATTGGTATTCCCGATTGCCCTGGATTCTCGGCTGAATGAATCGTAACCGATCTACTAGAGTCTGATCGCACAGGGTTATCATTTACATTTCCATCAGTAGTTTCTATAGAACTAGCCGTTGCTGTTCGACTTAAATCTGATATAGTTATTGTTGAGGAATCACTGCGATCTACGGTTTGATCAACATTAACTACTAGGGACTGGTTTTCTTCGTCTGAATTTAAGGCGTTAATTTTTATCCTAGACAGAGCGTCAGCATTAGTATTTTGTTTACCATTTTTATATATTAAGTCAAAGTCAAAGTCTTGTAAGCGCAAGCTCCAGCGGGTAAGTTTGCTGCTAGGATCTTTCAGTGATCGGAGCCAAACTAAAGGACGATGGTCAGTGTATATATAGAACTTGCGACCATACAAATATGGTCGAAAATGCTTTACAGCCCAGATAATCGCGAGCAGTTCCCTTTCAATTGTGCTATGCCGTGATTCCGTATCGCTTAAGGTACGGCTTGCAAATGCGATAGGTTTATCGTTTCCAATCTGACCTTGTGATAAAACTGCGCCAATCGCTACTATTGAAGCGTCGGTAGTTAGTATAAAAGGTTTGTCATAGTCAGGGTATTGTAAAAGGGGGGCATGTGTCAAGAGTTCCTTACATTGGTTAAAGGAGTCAATATATTTCTGATCTATTACGATTCGGTTACGTTTTTTCAAGCAATTGGTCATTGGTTTTGTAATTTTAGCGAAGTCTTTAATAAAACGTCTATAGTAACCTACAAGCCCTAAAAAACTTTTAATCTCAGTCGTCGTTTTCGGTAGTGGATAATTTAATACAGCATTGATTTTGTCGTTATTAGGTTTGAGTCCCTCTTTTGTAATAACATACTATTATATACAATAGATCTATACAAGGTTATATACAATATAATCTTGTATAGATCTTTATTAGATTGATAGTTCTATACAAGGTAGAGAACTTCCTTTTTTAAAAATTCTGACTTATCAAGTTGAATCTTCATGTTACTTGCTCTAAGTCTGTCAAAAACAGTCCGTAAGTTATATATCATGTGATTAAGGCTATTTCCGTAAATAATTATGTCGTCTAAATATACCATACAGTGCAATCCTTGTAATCCGCGCAAGACGTTATCCATTATCCTCTGGAATGTGGCTGGGGCAGTTTTTAGTCCAAACGGCATTCTAAGGAATTCAAAATGTCCATTTTGCGTGGAGAAGGCCGTCTTTTGTCTATCCTTCTCGTCTACTTCAATTTGATGGTATCCGCTAGCTAGGTCAAGGGTAGTGAAGTAAACGCTTTTTCCTAACTTGTCAAAAAGATCATTTATGTTCGGCAGAGGGTACTTGTCATCAAAAGTTATTTCATTAAGTTTCCTGTAGTCAATGACCATTCTATACTTAATCTCTCCTGATGTGTCCATTTTTTTTGGCACGAGATGTACGGGGGCAGACCACGGAGAGTGGGATTCCTGTATAACATTTTCCTTCAGTAATTTGTCAACTTGTCTGTTGATTTCGTTTTGAACGAACGGGGATTGTCTATATGGTTTTACATAAATTGGGTTCTCATTCTTAGTCCTGATTCGATGTTTTACTAAGTTAGTGAAAGTTAAAGGTATTTGGTCACAGTAAAATATGTCTTTATATTCCCGGCAAAGTCTGTATATTTTTTCTCGTTCTTCGTCATTTGTGTGGTCAAGTCTAAGTTTATTCAAGTTTTCCTCAAGCTGTCTATCAGTCTCTATGTCAGTTTTATTATGCGTAAAATGTACATTGCATTCTGTAGTATCGTATTTAGTCACTATAAATGGATTTCTGATGGTGAGTCGTTTTGGATAATCTAAAGTATTCTGGATTACTGTGTATGCATATCCGTGAATGCAGTTTACGATAGCGCTAGGCATACGCAACCCAGTGTCAAATTCTTGAAATTCAAGTACTGCGTCCCCCGAATATTGATCGACGGGTACTTAACTCGTCGTTCTGACCTTGCAGGTATATCTATCATGTAATTAAAGTTGGTATTAATAATTGGAATACATGTAGTGCTAGTTTTTAATAATCGGTCTTTCAAATCTATTACCGCGCCTAATTGTTGTAAAAGATCGTTACCGATAAGTCCATCATAACGGTCATCTACATCATATAAATAGAACTTATGCCAATTTTCGTTTCTGAAACTAGGTAAGAGAGGAATTTCTATCACTTCATCATGTCTACTTGAAGCATGGGTGCTATTTACTTGAAATTGCTCTTTTCTAATAGAGTCACTAAAATACTCATAAGCTTTCCGAGGACTAAGAAAAGACCGCATACTACCTGTATCAATCATCATTTTTGCATCTATTTCTTCTAAATAAATGTAGGGAAGTTTTAGATTTGGGTCGCAATTTAATTCTATGAGTTCTGGTCTATCACAGAGGCGGTAATTCTGAAGATCCTGAAGTGGGTTCTGAAGATATTTTGATGGTTCAAATTCGTCACAGGATACATTAGAATATTCTGTTTCATTAACGTCAGCGTCATAACAGTAGTTGATATCATTTGAACAGTCATTGTTATAATAATAATATTCGTCACAAGGAAAATTATCTTCATAGTTGGTCATTGTCAGTTCATTCAAGTTAAATCCTTGTTGCATTTTCGGTTGAACTGTCCTCATGGATACGTCATTGCTTTGTTGTCGGGGTTGTGGTGGCTTGTACCCGAATTGCTGAGGGGGTTTGTACCCTAGTGGTTGTGGGGGCTTATATCCGAATTGCTGTGGGGGCATGTACCCAAATTGGTGCGGAGGCTTGTATCCAAATTGTTGCGGAGGCCTGTACCCTAATTGTTGTTGAGGCCTATATTGAGGTCTATAACCGAACGATGAAACGAAGAAAGTGGCAACACTGGCGTAAACAGCTGTTTTTACTCGTCTTACATTTATTTGTTAAAATATTAATTATTCCTAAGTATTTTGTGCCATATTCCTATTAAATCACTAAAATAAGTAGTGATAAGTGTTAGTTATTAATAATTAGTGATATTAGTGCGTAAAATAGTTTTTATTTATGAAATAAGTTAAGTGTCAGTTAAGCTGAAAAATCTGAAATTTAGTTGTTATTTTAAACAAAATAGTGTGTTTCCAATAGTTATTATATTAAATATTGCTTTATAATACTTTAATTTACTTGTACTAGTAATTGCAATTTATCAACATTAACCTCTCTTTTGTTTTGCCCCACGAATCCTTTTATTTGATTTATAATGACAACCCGTAGAGCATTTGCCCGCCAGGAGGAGTCTAAACTCCAATTGGCTTTACAGGAACTAAAAGTAAGTAAGGATTTGTGTGCTCAACTGCATAGTGAAAGAGAGGAAAATGAAAAAGAATTATTGACAATATTAAAAAGTAATGACAAGTTAAAAGCTTCATTGACACGGTTACATATAGATTATAGTGATCTTTCAGAGGAGAGAGACAGATTAAAATCAATAGTAGTTAGTTTTGATGAGTGTGCGGTGGAGTATGAACAGGCACTGAAGCGGATCACCACACTGGAGGGCGAGCTGCGAGATGCACAAAAATATATCTCTGAGCTGGAAGAGAGTGCCCATCAAGCAACAGCACTGCACACTCATAGCTTGTTCGAAGAGTTAGTTGAGAACGCTCCAGAGTTGGTTGATGTTACAATTGAAAACCCGGTAACTATAGATCTTACAAATGATACCTTACCAGCACAACGGTTAGACAATTGTAGCAACAATAAACTAAAAAAGTACATAAAAGTAAATAAATTAATAAAGAAAACAAAAAAGATATTAAGTAAAAACAAATGTATTTCCAAAATATATAAAAATAACAGTTCACTATTGTCAAAATTTAATGTTTGTAAATTAGAATTGGAAAATATAAGCCAGAGATATGAGTCTGACACACAATTATTAGAATTACACATAGCCCAGTTGCAAACTTCCTTAAGAAGTATTACTGCAAAGTATGAAAGTAGTGAGAAAATGTTAAATGAGTACCAACTGGAGATGGATGAACTACTAAAGTTATCTAAGTATAACTCTGAAAGATTTGACTCACTCACAAACAATTGTATATGTGAATGTAAACAACTGAGTTCTCCACCCCCGGTCAATACTCCCCCATTTCAGGGAATATTGTGTGACAGGACTGATCTCTCTACTGTTGATAGTTCCCTCCAACATGGAAACACATATATGTACAGTGATGAAATTTGGAAGGAATATGGGCACCTATTTATACTCACAATTTGATACAAAAGTATCAAACAGCTGTTTACCAAATTGCTGTCTTTCTGAAATTATTTCACAAATTCATAAAGACAGCAAAAATTTCAATATACAAAGTAATTTAATAATTTTCATAGGAAATAGGGGTAATGTAAACAAAATAGAATTGTTAAAATGTTTAGAATATTTGAATAAGCTAAAAGTTAATAAAATTGTAATGTTTACTTTACCTTACTGTAACAGGTTGCCACAACATGAAAATAATCTTAGATATAAGTATAATATGACATTGTACAATTCATGTACTTACAATTCGAAATTCAATGTTATTGATTTTAACAAATCATATGCTAATAAATATTATTATAAGTGGACTGATAGTAGGTATTCCCTACCATCTTTTATAAAACAACAGATAGCTATGTCGCTATCTTATTATTTTAAAACTTTAGCTAAGAATTTGGCTATACAAGAAGCTCCTATTGAGCTATGCAGTAGTAATAGTAATATTTTGAATGTACCACAGAGTACTTTAAACTACAAAAAAAGACAATAGAGATCTCCTCTAGCCCAATATTAACAGATAATAATATTTATTTAAAAAACAAAAAAGTATGTAATAGTATTCAATATATCAATCTGGTGCATCAGAATATTCAATGTTTGAGAGGTAAAATATTAGAAGTAGAATTATTTTTAAATAGTTTTGATATTAATATATTCTGTGTTACTGAACATTGGTTGAAAGTTCATGAAATCATGTTTAATTTCAGTAACCACCAGGTTGGTAGTACGTTTACCAGGGCGAATTCCATACATGGTGGCTCTTTAATAATACTGAACAAATTGTTGAAATATAAGGAACGTAAAGACATAGTGAGCCTCTCTGTTGAGCGTACAATTGAATTAGCATCAGTAGAGTTAGAGCAATTCATTGTAGTATGTGTATACAGACCTCCCTCATCTAACTATGATACTTTTGAAACAGTTATGGATGTAATGTTAAATAAATTGTCAAATTCTAATAAGAAAAAGATTGTGTGTGGAGACTTTAACATAAATATTTTAGAACAAAGTACTTTGAGTATGAAATTACTTAACCTTTTTACATCACACAATCTTTCCAAAATGTTTATGGAGCCAACAAGAATAACTGCCACTAGTGCCACTTGTATAGACAACATTTTTACCAACTTTACACCAATTTCTAAAAACATTATTAGTAAGATAGATTCTGATCATTGTGGTCAATTAATAAAGTTTAATATCGATAAAAATGTTGTCACAAAAAGGAAAATCTCTTTTGTGCCAGTAACTACAAACCGACTCATTCAATTGCAAAATGACCTAAGTTGTTATTTACCATTATTAAGTAATAATTTAAGTGCGAATGAGATGTATAACCAATTCTTTAAATCTTTTAGTAAACTTTACAATTCGGTATTCACTACCAAATCGGTTACAGTTTCTGATACATTGGTATTTAGTGAGTGGGCAACTGCAGAGTTATATAATAATAGAAAAATTATACGAAATGTACGCAGAAAGGCAGCATAACACTAGTGAACGGTTTAGAGACAAAGTTAAATCATTTTCCAAATTATTTAAAAAGGATTGCGAAATGGCAAAGTCTCATTATCTGAGTAACAAGATAGAAAATAGTGGTAATAAAATTAAAGCTACATGGAAAATAATTAACGAGGAAACTGGAAAGAGTAAAACTCTAAACAATAGCTTTAAATTAAATATAGATAATAAATACATTAGTTCTGACTCTGAGGTAGCCGCCGCGTTTGAAACCTTTTTTACCGACATACCAGTTTCCACTACTAGGTCTCTGAACTCTTCACCTGCCACTGCGATCAAATTATTGGAACAAAATGTGGAAGAATGCAATATTAGCTTTAAGTTCGAAAATATAAATGCACAACAAATTATAAATGTATTTAAATTACTGAATGTTAAAAAAACAAAAGATCTTTGGGGAATTTCTGTTAGCATCCTTAAACCACTTATTGATGTTGTTGCATCTGACTTAGCATTAATATTTAATAAGTGTGTAGAATCTGGTGTGTTTCCTGACTTAATGAAACTTAGTAAAATTATTCCTTTGTTTAAATCGGGTTGTACCTCTGATGCCACTAATTTTAGGCCTATTTCAATATTACCTACATTTAGTAAAATCTTTGAAAAAATAATGTTAACTCAAATTACGAAACATTTTTATAATAATGAACTATTACATGTAAAGCAATACGGTTTCACTCGCGGTCGTTCAACAGCCGATGCTGGAGTCGCGTTACTTCTAAATATATTTGAGGCCTGGGAGGAGTCACGTGATGCACTTGGCATTTTCTGTGATTTGTCCAAGGCATTTGATTGCGTTCATCATGAAACGTTGGTCAGAAAATTACACCACTACGGAATTAGAGATAAGGCTCTGGATTTACTTAGATCATATTTGAATGAAAGAATCCAGAGGGTAGACGTGAATGGAAAGCGTTCCCCTGGATCAGTTGTTGTAATGGGTGTACCACAAGGTTCAATTTTGGGTCCTTTTTTGTTCCTCATTTATATAAATGACCTACCATACCTCGTAAAGGATGACCACGGGATAGTTTTGTTTGCTGATGATACATCTTTAGTTTTTAAAGTTAACAGACGACAAGCAGTAATTGACGATGTGAACATTGCTTTATCCAAAGTGGTACAATGGTTTAATGTCAACAACCTTTTACTAAACGAGAAAAAAACAAAATGTGTAAAATTCACTTTACCAAATGTTAAAAGTGTAAAAACCAATGTACGACTGAATAATGAGGAACTAGATCTAGCTGATACCACTGTATTTCTAGGCATTACATTAGATGCCAAACTCCAATGGGGCCCTCATATTTCTCAATTATCGAATAAGCTCAGTTCTGCAGCCTACGCGGTTAAGAAAATACGTCAATTAACAAATGTAACGACAGCTAAGTTTGTATACTTTAGCTATTTTCACAGCATTATGTCATATGGTATTTTACTATGGGGTAATGCTGCTGATATTGACACAATTTTTGTGCTGCAGAAAAGGGCTGTTCGAGCTATATATAATTTAGGCCCAAGAGAATCTTTGCGGAATAAGTTTAAAGAAATTAAAATAATGACTGTGCACTGCCAATACATCTATCAAAATCTAATATATGTACATAAAAATATTGATAAATTCAAGAAATATAGTGACCTGCATAATGTAAACACTAGAAACAAAAATAAGCTAGTTCAGCCCACCACTAGGCTCCATAAAATTGGTAATTCCTTTATTGGTAATAGTATTCGCTTTTACAATAAACTACCAGATGATACTTTAAAACTGTCAATAAATAAATTTAAAATTTACATTAAAAGACAATTAATAAATAAATCCTATTATAATGTAAAGGATTATTTAAGTGATAAAAAAGCTTGGGAATGAATTGCTCTTTATACTGAAGTAAGGATGTTTGTGAAACAATGATCACAATAAAAAAAAAATGTTACTTGGCTGAGTTTCTTGTGGGTTCTTCTCAGACCAGGGCGCGTTACGAACCCTCGTAGCCTTAGTTTAAGTCTTCTAATTGACGTACACAAGTGATCATTGAATTGATACAATGTGTAAAAAGAAGTAAATAAATAAATAAATAAAGATGGCCTTGGTGGTTGACCTTGACCCTGAGTTTGAGGTATCTTTTGAGAATTATCAAAATTAATTTTAGAGTAAAAAGGTAAGTTGGGTTTGTAACCAAGCGGTTGTGTCATCGATGGCTTTGAGCTCATAATTTGACTATTACCATGTACGCGATTACGCATCTTATATTGCTCTAAGAAGTTCACTTCTTCAAGAACGATACTTAAAGCTGCTTCTAAAGTTGTGGGTGATTTAAGCCTAACAATACGCACCATATTTTCCGGGAGGTTATATAAAAATACTTTTAGAGCCGTATTATTATAATTAACTGACTTCGCAAGTTTTAAATCTGAATCATGAATGGAATTCACCTTCGACATTAATAGCGACCGAACACCTTGGATCCTATTACAAAAATCGAGAAAAGTTTCACCTGGATTAATTTTTAAAGATTCTAACTCTATATTAATGCACTCTTCACTGCGAGGGTCTCCAAAATGTTGGATTAACAAGGCTTTTAATGTGGACCATGTAACAATGTCCTCTCGTTCAGACAAGAGCGCAGCTGCATCATCTCTTAATCTACTTGTTAAAACATTAAAAACGTAAAGATTTTGTTCATCATTACCATTATATCGCTCAATTACGTATTGACATTTCCGTAAATAAAGATTTAGCTGTCTTTTATCACCACTATACAAAGGAATTAAATCTATAATTTCTTTTGGTATTGATGATACGGTTGTGGTTGCCATGATTGTAGAGTAATGAAATGTTCAGAGGATGCAACTGGCTTTAAATATGAAAACTTTTACATAAAAAAACACACACACACACTTATAATAAAACACACACAAAAAAAAACAATTTAAAAAGAAATAAAATTTAAAAATTAAAAGAAATGTTGTTAAAATATAATTTCTAAAAGTTATAAAATATTATATTATAAAATCATTTAAGTATTTATTAATTTCCTTTAAATTTAAACTTATTATAATATATTTAATTATGTAACAATTTAACACATTTATGTAATTTCTTTAAATCAATTCAATATTTAATTTTATTAAAAGAAGTCTCTATGTTCCTATTCTAAGAAAGATAAGACCGAAGAATTTTATACGGTGATATCAGCTTAACAAAGTTATAATGAGCAAGGTTTGATCTCAAAAATAACAATTACTTATAATTAACATGAAAAATACGGGAGGATTAGCGGAACAAGGATTGGCGAAAAGTTTGACTCACCACATGACTGCTACTCCCATATTCGGTTTTCTCTGCTTCTCACGACACAAAAGAATATTTATTTGGTTCGACGGATCTCTACGACTACGGAGTCTATAAGAAAATCCTACCGGCTGCGCCACTTTTGGTTTCGGAGCGTTTTGAAAACTATTTATACTAACTTAAAATTAAATTAAGAAAAAAATAAAACTAAATGTGAGACATGTAGCCGATTTGAGGCTTCTTTAATATCTGAATACATACTCGGCCGGCGGATGCCGGGTGGGCCGACCAGACGCTGAGTTTGCGTCTCTCTTATTCTATGTAAATCTTAATCTAGAGCGGATGGACGAGGTGTAACCATAACTACATAAGTTCGCAAGAAGTTTTGTTTTGTGGAAAATATTCTTTATTTGTTGTTATGGAACCAAAAACATATCGTTGGTGTGTAGTACCTCAATGTACAAACACATCAAAAACTACTCCAAATAAAATATTGATTGATGTGCCAAGAAAAGCAGATATACGAAAAAAATGGTTGGTCTTAGCAAGAAAAAAGTGCGACGGAATGTCTGTAAATTCACCAATTTACTTTTGTGAAGATCATTATGACGTAAGTGTACAGTAGTTACTTACTACAAATGAAAAATATTAATTTGTAGTAAATGTACATTGTTCAATGTTAGAGGTTATATTTACGAGATTTTATTCATTTTTACTTGTTTCAGCTGCCGAATGATATGGAAAATTACATGCGATACCATATAATGGGCACTGTTGATAGAGTAATGTTGAAACCTGGCTGTCTCCCTAAAAAATTTCAATGTCAGAAAAGAAGTTTGCCTTCAACTGTAACATCTTGCCCTGCTGCTATTAAAATGCAAAGATTGGCTTTAGAACAGGAAGCCCTTGACTACAGCACATTGGAGAGTGATACCAAAGAAGTAAATACAACCTTGTCTTCTAGTAAGTACTTATCAGAACCAAAATACATCTATTTTAGTCGTGGACTGTGGTATTTTGCTTGCTTTGAGAATAGGATTAACAAAAAATTACCTTTATCTTTGTTTTAGGTTTACCTGTAGAAGTCATAGTTGAACATCAGCCAAAAAATAAAGATAAAGGAGTTCAAGTTTTTGTGAAGAGTAAATACTTCAGAAGCAAGTTGACACAAACAGAATTCAAATCCCATAGTATTGCAACATCACCATCTAAAACATGGATGTCAACTGTATCAACATCTCCCTTCAAAGTAGAACATGTAAAGCCAGCTACGCCAAGTCATAGAAAATTAGTTTTGGATAGATCTGATAGTGACACATCACTGTATAGCCAGTCAATGTTTCAACAAATGTCCCCTTCAGTACAATCATTACAGTTGAAGTCACTGTCCGAAAGCAGTAGCTTAAATGAAGAGGAAGCTATATTAGAAAAGAAAAGAGAAGCAAAGCAATCCCTAGAAAATAAATGTAAAAAAATTAAAGCCAAACCACGCTTCTATATTGGAATAAATAATAACTGTTACTTTTTATTACATTTAATTGAAAAAGAAACCAACATACCCATTGTGAACATATTACTGTGCTTAAAAAAAATAAGATTGAATACAACATTCTCAGAACTTTCTGATCAATTTGGAATATCTATGTCATATGCTGGCAAAATATTTAGAAAATGTGTTCCAACGATTTCTGCTGCTCTTAAATCCTTTATTGAAAAACTAGATAAGAAAAAAATTAAGTCATCCCTTCCAATTGCATTTAGGCACCGCTACAACAAAGTCAACTGCATTATAGACTGTTTTGAAATTGAAATAGAAAAGCCTTCTAAATCAGTACATCAGGCATTAACATGGTCTGAATACAAGAAAGGGAATACAATTAAATACTTAATATCAAGTACACCAAATGGTTTGGTAAATTATATATCACCAGGATATGGAGGACGGATAAGTGACACTTTACTTGTGGAACACAGTGAATTTCTTGACCAACTAGAGCCTGGAAGTTGGGTCTTAGCAGACTGTGGTTTTAAACATATTAAACAACTATTAATTCAAAAAAATTGTCACCTACTAAGACCCCCAAGTGTGATTCAAGGGGCTAAATTAAGCAAGAAAGAGGTTCATCAAACTAAGCAAATTGCAAGCTTAAGGATACACATTGAGAGGGTTATTCGGAGAATACGTGAATTCTCTATGTTAAAACCACATTCTGTGTTAAATTCTAAATTGATAAGTGTGCTAGATGAATGTGTCATTATATCATGTGCTCTTATAAATTTACAGGACTCCATTGTGTACTAATCTAGTTTACTCCTGAACAAAGCCTGCTAGAACTGCTACCAATCTATTTCATAGGCATAAACTTTTAGAAATAATTTTGTTTATTATTGTATATTTTTTATGTAATTATTGTAATGTGTTTCTTGTAATGTATAATAAATCGATAATAATAAATAAAACAAATGAATATATTAAGCCATAATGTATTTTATTTTGTACTGTTATATAATATTGGATATATATTTTTCTGCCAAAATTTGTATACACTGGAAATGTACTTATTAAACTAATTTTCATCATAATCAACTATCAAAACTTCCACATTATTTGTGACTTCAAAATTATAACAACACAAAAATAAGTTCTTTTCAAATTTGTCACATACGTTTGGACTTGCACTTGAGCCATGTATTTTTGTGAAATTTTTCCATCTTATATATAATTTTTATAAGTTTTTTCACTTGTAGGGCATTTGATCTCTATGCAAATTTCACTGTCACAAATACCATCAGGTGTACCAGCCAGGAAATTTTACTTTTTTGCCTAATTTCTTTTCCACTGTTACTCTTACTTTGCTTTCCAATACCCGACCTCTCTTCATAGCTTTTGTGTCTGGAGTTTTGGCTCCCATGATCACAGCAACCAATGATCCATCTGAAGTAAGGCATTTGCTTACTTCATAAGCTTTTGAAGCTGTAACTCGCCCATACCTTAACTCATGCCACAACCTGCTTTTATGTTGTCCCACAGTATGCTCCTCAATAATTTTAATATTTTCTTCTAAAAATACTGTGATATTTTGTTCAAAAATGAACCACAGTCACGTTCATAACAATGTTTTATAATTAAGCAGTGTAGTGAAAACTTTTCAATGTCATTTGTTCTATAGCTACAGTAGTTTAATAACTCACAGTTAGTTACACCTCTGTGTGTCGCTTCTTGGAGAAATTTTGACAATAAATCATCTCGCAATGTAGTCTGTGTAGCTTGTTGTGTTTTCACAGTGGACAGATCTTTGGTAGTAATGCATTTAATATTAGTACCAACTTGAGAAAGTTTTGACTTTTTCCAGTAACACTGAATGTCTGTACTTGATGGTTCTTCACTCCTTCTGTGGACCCACATCAGGAAAGCTACTGAATGTTTGCAACCACCTGTAGAGGCAGCACAATCATGACATTCGACGCTTACGATTTTACCTCCTTTTTCATCTACTATCATAGTCGCTGAATACGATTTTGAACGAACTTTGTGTTCTGGACACACCCTGCATTTAATGGTACACAAGTCGGAATCACGTCGAAGTTGTACATATCCTATAGCATCGTCGCCGTATGATTGTCTTGCTGATCTGAAAAGAAACATTAAAATATATTTTTACTCAAACGTGGCAAAAAAACGTCATATTAACTACATTCTTTGAAGTTAATAATATATAAATAAAGCTTGAGGTTGTTTTATTTGTACTATATCAATAGGCATTTTATAGCAAATAATATATTATATAGTTGTAATACTTACAAAGAAGTTTTCACATTTCGAAATTCAGCGTCACAAAAGTCTGAATTATTTGCAAAGAAATTGCAAATCATAAACATATCCACTCTGGGAAGGTTTCGACTATCGGCTTACGTAAATCCTGTTTCCATTATGAAAAACTAGAGAGACTTAGAATTTCAACGCAATTGGGGAAGTAACTGAGAGAACTAAGTAGTAACCCGTACACAGAAGCAGAATGCAGCAATATTGTTAATTGTTATGTTTAATGTATATATATATATATATATATATATATATATATATATATATATATATATTATATACATAAAATTCGATCAATTATTTTTGTACTATCAAAACGTTAGGGGCATGCGTAGTAAACTGTCAGAAATTTATCACAATGTGTTAAAAAATAACTTTAATATTATTATTTTAACTGAAACTTGGCTTAATAATAAAGTCTTCGATGCTGAAATATTAGATGATAGATATCGGGTGTTTCGGAGGGATAGGGAATCATTAACATTTTCAGAAGGAAAGGAAGGTGGTGGTGTTATTATAGCCGTACACAAATCACTAAATTCTTTTAGGAATTACTCATATGAAAGTCATTGTGAAGATCTATGGATAACTATAGATGTTAACTCTAAAAGAAAAATACATTTGTGTGCTCTGTATTTACCTCCTCCAGTTCAATTAGAACACTTTGAACATTTCAAAAAGAAGATAAGCACATTTATAAATGAATTAGATTCAGTCATTATAGTTGGTGATTTTAATATGAGTGGAATATCTTGGGTAATGAACAATACAGATACACACAGTGTTCCTAATAATTATAATAATCAACTTGGCTATGCATTAATAGACTTTATGTCTTCAAATAACTTATTGCAATATAATACAATTTATAATGATCACAATAAAATCCTTGATTTAGTATTAGCAAATTTCTCTGATCCAATTTCAGTAATTAGGTCGGAAGAGATATTATCTAAGGTAGATAAGTATCATCCTCAACTACTTATACAAATTAGAATTAGCTCTCTTAAGTTGTTATCATCAACAGTGAGTTCAAGATATAAATATTTTAAGGCTGATTATCAAAAAATTGAAGCATATCTGGTAAATGTTGATTGGGAGATTGAATTTACAAAATGTGAGACAGTGGACCAACAACTTCATAAATTCTATGAAATTATGTATAAAGTTATAAAAGAATTTGTCCCAATTCAACAAAATTTTAAAACAAAATATCCTATCTGGTTCAGTTTTTCTTTGATTAAAATTCTAAAGGAAAAAGAGAAACTTAGTAGTTAATAAAAGCCAAAGTATTTAATAATGATCTTGATAGATATGAATACGAACTATTAAAAGAAAGAACCAAGAAAAAGATGAATACAGATTATTCTGCTTATATTGAGAATGTGCAATTTAATATATGTAAAAATTTTAAAAAATTCTGGTTTTATGTTAAAAATAAATATCGAAATAATGGCAGTATACCACAAAAAATGAAGTTAGAAAGTCAAACTGCTGAGGATGGGGTGTCTTAACGAATTTATTTGCAGACAACTTTGCTGCTGTCTATAATCCTTCATCTTTTAAAAACTTAGAAAATTTAACTCAAATGCAAAATAATAATCATAATTGTTTAGGTTCTATTCATTTATCTGAAAAGTCTATTAAAACATCACTCAAAAAACATACAACATAATGTTGAATAAATGTTTTTATGTAAATTTAGTTAGTAAGCCTTTATAATAAATAAATAAATAAACATATATGTGTTCTCCTAGCCGATTCCGGCCACGGCGGTCAATCTCAATGAGATTAGCCAACTGCGCAGGAGATATTATAGTGCTCAAGTGTACGCGCAGACACAAGTGCACTCTCTATTCCTATCACTCTCATACTCCGGTGGGACGACCACTCGACACGACCGGTGAGAGTTAAGGCGCAGGACCGACGGCCTTACGTGCTCTCCGAGGCACGGGGGTGAAACACCGCCAACTTCCCAACTCCGGGCTGTTACTGAGACTTACTATACATGAAGACTCAATAACTAAACTTGACCCGACCCGGGACTCGAACCCAGGACCTCCGGGTGTGCAGCCGTACATGCTAGCCACTACACCACCGAGGCAGTTATATATATATATATATATATATATATATATATATATATATATATATTATGTACTGTGACGTGCTGTCAAATGTCAAAATTCAACAAATGACGTCACGCACTGTGTTTTGGTGTTTCAGTACAGACTTAAAATATTGTAAATAACAAAATTTTATTTCTTCATTTAAAAATATTTAAATGAATTATATTTAACTATTATTCGATAAATAATCGTTAAACAGTGTACTTATTTTATCTAAGTATATTTTAGATTTTTATCTGATTACTGTCCGATCCCCTATTAGATAAATGCACAATACAAGAACAAACAGTAAGAAATGGAAATGAATTGCGATTACAATTAAACACATTAAAAAAAGATTTCAAGAGTCTCGAGAAAAAAATAAGTAGACAACAAAAAAAACTAGACAAGATGCAGGAAGATTATAAAAATGTACTAATTAAATTATCCACGGAAGAGGAAACAGAGGACATACATACACGAGAAGTAGAAGAGAAAACATCAAGAAAAAGAGTTACTGATTTCATAAATAATATCATACCTGACATTGAAACTCCAAAAAAAGAAAAAATTAAGAAAAAGCTACTTGAACATCATATTCTAACAGACTCAATAAAATCACAATGCGAAACTTCTAACAATATTGAAAAGAATGTGTTGAGAAAAGTTCTGGATAATAGTATTGTTAAAAATATATAAATATAAAACAAAGATAAGAACCTCTCTGGGATTCAAGAGCAATTTCAAAAACTACCGTCAGCAGAAGACCAAAACTACTGCATTGCAAAATAAAATCGAATGTTTTTTTAACAGAGACGACGTTAGCCGCGCCACTGTGGGCAAAAAATAATATAGAACCTACAAAAAAGTTACACGTCAAAAGAGATATTTGCTTGACAAATTAAGTGTTCTACATAAAAAGTTTATTACGGAAGAGGCCAAAATAAGTTTTAGTACTTTTAAAAAGTACCGGCCGTTTTACGTACTTTCCCCTAAAATAAAGGATTGCGATAGTTGCGCGTGTGTAAAGCATTCGAATATGCAATTCTTGGTAGACGAATTAAAATCTCTTAAAGTTCTTAATACAGATAATTTAAATGAAGTAACAACAGATTTAGTTCAACTTCAACTCCAAAGATTGCATGTATAATAATTGCAACGCATGTTCGCAAATTAAATTAAAGGTTGATAATTTAAAACTTTTGGATAAAGCCAGCTGGTTTACTTGGGTGTTAAAAGACCATGATTATAAAAAACAAGGGGAACAGAAGAAAGTTAAAAAGATGATAAAGATAAAGAAAGAGGGTACTTTAATAGACTTACTCGAGACATTTAGTGCGGAAATGAAGAAATTTAAAACCCACATTTTTAATTTTTATTATCAATATAAAAAGTACAAAGATTGCATTAATAATTTAAAAGATGATGAGGCTTGTATCCATATAGATTTCTCTGAAAATTTTACTTGCAAATACCATAAAGAAATACAGGCAACGCACTTCATAAAAGAACAGATTACCCTACATACGGGAGTTATTTACATCAAAGGAGAGGAACAACCCATTTCATTTTGTTCTATTTCCCTTGACAATCAACACAACCCAGAGGCAATATGGGCCCACCTCGACCCAATTTTACAATACATAAAGAATAACTATTCCAACATCTGTACCATTCACTTTTTCTCTGACGGCCCAACGACCCAATACAGACAAAAAAGAACTTTTACTTATTCAGTAAAAAAGCCTACGAATACGGGTTTAGTTATGGCACGTGGTCTTTTTTTGAGGCTGCCCATGGCAAAGGTGCCGCTGATGGTATCGGAGGGGTCATAAAACGAACCCTAGATTCCAAAATCGCACAGGGAAAAGATATTCCAAATGCTGAAATAGCATTTGACATTTTAAAGTCAGAGGACACAAGCATCAAATTATTTTATATTTCATCTCTTAACATCAAACCTATACATACAAAACTTAGTCCTTTGCCACAAACAATGAAAATTCATCAGCTTATAACAACAGAAAAACTGAAACTCAAACACAGAAATCTTAGCTGTTTCTGTGGAGATCCTAGAGGCAGCTGTGAATGTCACTCACCTGTATCTCATAGTTTTGTCCCCATTATAAAGACAAACGAAAAACAGTCAAATAAACAAAAAAGAGTAATAAAGAAAAGGTAGTTAAAAGTTCAAAAATTAGCAAGAAAAAGAAGCGAAGACTCACCAATTCATCAACTGAAGAAGACGACAATGATGACAATATTGAATACGCAGAAAGCGATGCAACTGCCATTTTTTCTGATGATTCAATGAGTATAGATTTTTACGACGACGAAAACAATTTAAATACTGAACTTGACGAAAAAACGGGTATACTGAAACCGAAAATAGATCCAAACAAGAAAGTGACTCTGTTATCTCAAATAATTTTAAAGAGACCTGATTATGAAACTAATACTAAAAAAGACAAAAAAAGAAAGATACTTTGTGAAAGTGAACAATCAATACAAAAAAGATTTCGCGAAAGTACGGAATTTATTACTGGGAAAGATGACGTGACAATTTTGTCACAAATAAGAAAAGTACCGGAAAATATGTCAAGTTATGATTTAAGACAGAGTGATGTATTTGGAAAAGAATATACCATGAATGAAATAAAACATAAAGACAGTGACAAAATTAAAACCGATGACAGGAAAATGCATGTGCAGAAGGAAAATTTGAAAGACGAAGAAAAATACAAAATTGAGATCGAATACACGAAAGAAGATGAAATCAAGATAATTCTTAATGATACTGAAGAAGTAGATGAACAAGAGGCAATTCAATGTAAAGAAATTAATAAAACAAATTTTGAAATGACAATTTTGTCACAAAAAAGGAAATTACCGGAAAATACTTTAAGTTATCATTTAAGAGAGAGTGATACATTTAGAAAAGAAGATATTATAAGATATAAGATAGATAGAGATAAAATTAAGACTGATGATGGAAAAATAGACGAGAACAAGGAAAATATATCCTATAACCAAAAAGAAATTGAAGATATTTTGAATGAAGAAGATAAATGTAAAATTGAGATTGAATGCACGACAGGAGATGAAAGCAAGAAAATTGTAAATTATATTAGAGAAGAAGATATAAAAGAGGCAGTTAAATTTAAAAAAATGGACAAACCAGATTTAGATAAAAGAAACAAAACTAAGAATTTGAAAGAAGGTAATAGTAATTTCAGGGAATCGAACATGAATGAAAAAGAAGTTCGTAGCCCAAAGAAAATTAGATATTGATATAGTGACCATTATTTCTATCGTCAAAAAGGTAAATTTAATTCAACGGGAGGAAGCCTCTAAAGAATATTATCTGAGTGATGATTCCGATGTGGTTTTTTTAAAATAAATAATTTATTATAATTGTTATTTTGCAAGAAAGAATTTATGTAGCTTTTTCACAAGTTAACAGTTTCTAAGAAACAATTTCTTTATTTTGATAAGCGACAAAGCTATTTTTGTTTTATAATTTTTATTTAATTAAAACGTTATAATATCTTGTTACGTTGTGTAAGAATTTGATAAGCGGCAAGGCAATTTTTGTTTTTTACTTTTTATTTAATTAAGAACATTATAATATTTTGTTATGTTGTGTAAGAATTTGATAAGCGGCAAAACTATATTTATTTTTATTTTTATATAAAAGAACATTATAATATCACTTTGTGTAAGAAAATAAATAACTCCCAACTATTGACTGTTTTAAACATTTTCATAATATTTATGATACCTAAATAATATTACCTTATTATCATTTAAACCCGAAGCCAAAAATAGCGCGTTATAAAATCAGCCTTACAAGCAATATGTGTTACTTTCACTTACTTCTACGTGACCGTAACATAGAAGTGTCTCTGTTACTCTATGTTAAAAAGTGGCAAAATCTACGGCCTTACACTTATATGAGCTTACCTAATAATAATATTGTGAATCTATATGTGTTTTAAAAAAATCCCCTAAATATTGGAACAGTAAATTTAATGATTTTATGCTAAAAGAAAATTTTAAAAGATCTAAAAGTGATCCATGTTTGTATTTCAAAAAACAAGAAAATAATTATTTGTACGTTATGTTATTTGTTGATGATTTATTGTACTTTGCTAGTGATAATATAATATGTAACGAGTTTAAAACTGCATTATGTAATAACTTTGAAATGAAAGATTTAGATCTTGCAACTACTTAGGTATAAATATAAATCAAAACTTAACGAATGGTGTAACAAAAATAAATCAAAAGAAGTATATACAAAATTTATTATATAAATATCAAATGTCAAATTCCAAAGCAGTAGACACACCTATGGATAACAATTTTAATATGCAGTTGTTAGAGAATGACAAACCTGAAAATGAGCAAATCGAAAAATATGTAGAAGTTTAACTGGTAGCTTATTATTATATGTAACATTATACATATATTATATGTAACATGTACTAGACCAGATATATCTGTATCAGTGAGTTTTTTGAGTAGATATGTACATTGTGCATCTACAATATTGTTTAAATGTTTAAAACGTGTTTTACGCTATTTAAATAGCACATTGGATCTGTCATTGATTTATAAATGTAATAATAATGAAACTATAAAACTACAGGGCTATAGTGATTCAGATTGGGCCGGTGATAAAAAGGATAGGAAGTCAACTACAGGTTTAATGTTTTTTGTATTTAACTGTCCATTGTCATGGGCGACAAAGAAGCAGCTCTCTATTTCATTATCTTCCTGTGAAGCTGAGTATATAGCATTAAGTAATGTAATTGTTGAAGGAATGTTTATTAAACAATTGTTATGTGATTTTGGTTATAGTAACATGCCGTGTGGCAAATAGCACAGTGTGGTAACACTGTTAGAGGTCTATGATAAAAGATGGAGGTTCTATGGAAGATAAAAAATTATAAAATTGTTTTGTATTGCTCACATCTTAAGAATTATAATAAAAGTGATTTAAGAGACTAGACTTATAATTTATTAACCAATAAATACAACATGGTGTCAGGTGTAAACCTAGTTATTTAATAGAGTGAATAAACAGCTGTTGTGATAGCGAAAATAAGTTACAATGGAGTTTAAACCACCTGCTGAGTTATCGTTCTCGGGTAGTATTGCAGAAAATTGGAGGAATTGGAGGCAGAAATTGGAATATTATCTTTTAGCAACTGAAAAGGAAAAAAAGAAGATAAAGTTAAAATAGCAATTTTACTCAACTTGATTGGTGATGAAGGTTTGGCTATATATAATACGTTTGGACTATCTACTGAAACGTCGACGTATGATGCTGTAATTAAAAAATTTGAGAATTACTGTAAAGAAAAAAAGAATGTGTTATTTGAGCGGCATAAATTTTTTAAAACATTGAGAATTGATGGTCAGACTATTGATAATTATGTGACAGGGCTTCGCACTATTGGAGCAAACTGTGAATTTGGTGATCAGTTAGAATCGTTAATTAGAGATCAAATTGTGTTACACTTAACAGATCAAGGGCTACAGGAAAGAATATTGAGAGAAAGTGAGCTAGGTTTACTTAAAGTAGTTGAATTTGTAAAAGCATCCGAAACTACAAAGGAACAAGTGAGATTAATACAAGAGAAATCTGTAGAAGTACATGGATTAAGAAGAGGTAATAATAAATCTAATTTTAACACAGCTAATGATGAGGGCAGGAAACTTAATAATCATTTTAGCCTTAAATATGGGAATCACAGTGGTGTGAATAGCACTAATAATGCAGTAGACTATCAGTGTCGGAAGTGTGGAAATAAACACAGAGCCAATAATTGTCCAGCATATGGAAAGTATTGCAATTTATGCAATAAGCCAAATCATTTTGCACTTGCATGTTTTAAAAACAAGAAAAATATAAGTTTAGTAAAACAAAATAAGTATGAAAGTGAACAGGATTATGCAGATTCCCTTATAGACTCGTGTGAATTAGTTGAGAGCTCAAGAAAAATATGTAAAATTAATCTTTTACAGTGGTCACAAAAATTAATTATTAATAACAAGGAATTGGAGTTCAAGCTTGATACAGGAGCTGAGATTAATGTAATGCCAATAAGCTGTCTGTTCAAATTGGGAGTAAATGCTGACAATATATGTAATAATAGACAAATAATTTTGGAGGTATTTGGAGGTAATCGGTTAAAATCTTCAGGAGTTATTAAATTGAAGTGTAGTGCCAATAATGCTAGGAATTGCCAACTTAGTTTTGTGGTAGTGGATGATGCAAATAATAATAAAATTAAACCCTTACTGGGTTTGGACGGCTGTGTTAAATTAAATTTAATTAAAAGAATAAATGATCTTACAGTAGATAATCAAAAGAAAATGGAAATTTTGAAGAGAAATGAAGACATATTTAATGGAACTGGACTGATTAAAAATTATGAGTGTCACATTAAAGTGGATAAATCTGTAGAACCAGTCATCAGACCTCCTAGAAGAGTACCTTTAGCTATTAGAGACAGGTTAAAAGAAAAATTGAACCTTTTGGAGAGAGGAAAAATTATTGAAAAAGTGGATGGTCCCGTGACATGGCTCAGTAATCTTGTAGTAATTGAAAAATCGGATGGAGGTCTTCGAGTATGTTTGGACCCAACTGATCTAAACAAAGCCATCATTAAAACACCTGCGTTAATACCTACCTTGCAAGAAGTAACTTCTCAGTTAACAGGTAAATTTTGGTTTTCTTTACTTGATCTTAAGGAGGGTTTCTATAATATTAAACTGGACAAAGAATCATCTAACTACTGTGCCTTTTCAACACCTTTTGGGTGCTATAAGTTCCTCAGACTCCCATTTGGCCTATCCAACGCCCCTGAGGAGTTCCAAAGAGTAAACACTTCCATATTTTCAGATATTCCTGGACTTATAATATATTTTGATGACATTTTAATTGCAACTGAGACAGAAAAAGAACATGATGAAGTGCTAAATAAAGTTTTAGAAAGGGCTAGGTCAAGTAATTTAAAATTTAATCCTAGTAAATTTCAATATAAAACTAATAAAGTTACATTTTTGGGATTTGAGTTTGATAAAAATGGGATGAAAATTGACCCTCAGAGAATAAAAGCTATTAAAAGTTTAGAGAACCCTTGTAATAAGAAGGAATTACAAAGAATTTTGGGCATGCTTAATTACATAAGAAATTTTATTCCAAATTTTGCTGACTTAACTTCTAATTTGCGTACCCTTTTGAAATGTAATGTAGAATTTATTTGGACAGAAGCTCATTCAATGCTTCTGAAAAATATAAAAGGGTTAATTACAAAAATTCCAGTATTAACACATTTTGATACATCTAAGGAAATTACTATTGAATGTGATGCATCTAAGGACGCTATTGGTTGCTGTTTAATGCAGGAGGGACAACCTATATCCTATGCGTCAAGGGCGTTGTCACCAACAGAAAAGAATTTTGCACAAATTGAAAAGGAGTTATTAAGTCTTCTTTTTGCAACATCTAAGTTTCATTTATACATCTATGGGCGTAAAACTTTTGTCAGAACAGACCACAAACCTCTTGTGTCTCTAATTAAAAAGAATGTTGGAGAAATACCATCACCAAGATTGCAGCGGATGATTCTTAAATTAATTAAATATGACTTAGAATTGAGATATGTGCCTGGCAAGGAATTATATATTGCTGATTTATTGTCAAGAGGTTGTGAAAATGAAGAGAACATCAGTTCTGAAGAAGATTGGATTAGTGAGATAGTTCATGAAGTAGCATCTAATAATTATCAATTGCAGGTCACACCTAGAAGAAAAAAGATTCTCGAAGAAGAAACTGCCAAGGATAAGACATTACAACGCCTAGTGCAGTACTATATGAAGGGTTGGCCTGCCAATAGTAAAGATGTGCCTGAAGAAATAAAAATATATTACAAATTTAAAGATGAAATTTATGTTAGTGGAAACTTAGTATTTGTTGGCCGAAAGCTGTTGGTGCCTATTTCCTTGAGAAAAGAAATGTTAGAGAAGCTTCATAGTCCGCATTTAGGAGTCAGCAAAACACAAGCAAGGGCAAGACAAATATTTTACTGGCCGCAAATAAACTCAGACATTGAAGAATATGTATTAAAATGTAAAATATGTGAAACTTTTAGGAATAAAAATATAAAGGAACCTTTATTGCCTTACCCAGTTCCATCAAGACCTTATCAACGGGTTGGTATGGATTTCTTCCAACTAGGAAACTATTCTTACCTAATAATTGTGGATTATTTATCAGCTTGGTTTGATGTTGTAAAGATGCCATATAAGACAGCATCAGAAACAATCAAGAGTATTAAACCAATATTTGCCACACATGGTATACCTAATGAAATTGTGGCTGATAATATGCCTTTCTCATCCTTTGAGTTCAAGAAATTTTGTCAAGGATGGGAAATAAAATTAACTAACACCAGCCCACATTATCCACAATCAAATGGAATGGTGGAGAAAGCAGTTGGTATTTGCAAGAACCTGATGAGAAAATGTTACAAATCTGGACAAGATTTCAATTTAGGATTAATGGAGTATAGAAACTGTCCAGTTACAGGATTGTCAGAGAGCCCAGCCCAACTAATGATGAGCAGACAGCTAAGAACAGTCCTCCCAACTATTGATGAAAATCTGATGCCAAATGTTGTTAGGGTGAAGGAGGATAAAGAGCTTAAACAGAAAAAGTCTAAGTTATACTATGATAAAACTTCACAGCAGAGAAGAGGTTTCAATGAGGGTGAAAGTGTGGTCCATAGAAGAGGAAGGAGATGGGAGCCAGCCCAGATTATTAAATCTAACAATACGCCTAGATCCTACATAATAAGAACTGAGGATGGTCAAACATTAGTTAGAAATTCAGTTCATCTACGGAAATCGGGAAATCCTTTTGCTATTAATGGAGATCAAAATAGTTATCCCACTTTAGAAAACAACACTACTGAAAGTAATGAATCGAATACTGAGACTCAACTGGCTCCAGCTCAACTTCCACAAGAGAGTTCTGAGATCACCTCTGAAACTTATAACCCAGCTCTACCTCAAGCTATGTCTAGATACGGAAGAAGAATTATTAAACCTAGGAGATTAGTGGAAGAATGATTTTTAATAGTTAAACTAGTATTTAGGAGTTTTTTTTAATTGTATGTATGTCTATTTAAAGAATTTGTTTAGTTTTTTTTATAATTGTTAATCTTGAACTAAAGTAAAAGGAGGGAGATGTGGTAACACTGTTAGAGGTCTATGATAAAAGATGGAGGTTCTATGGAAGATAAAAAATTATAAAATTGTTTTGTATTGCTCACATCTTAAGAATTATAATAAAAGTGATTTAAGAGACTAGACTTATAATTTATTAACCAATAAATACAACACACAGGATAGAGAGAAGTGGGCATCTTTGGAGGAGGCCTTTACCCAACCTGGGGACCTTGATTAATGCAAAAAAAAAACTAGAAATTAACCGTTTAGTATAATGTAGTATGTATTAATAAAAAAAATATATATATAATAATAATAAGTAAGTATACCTTTTTTTTTTTTTTTTTTTTTTTTTTTTTTTTTTTTTTTTTTTTTTTTTAAGTCAGGAAACCCTGTTGCCGGGTACCCGCCGCCTGGGGAAGAACGACGGGTTATGTGGGGCTCCTGCCGCGCAAAAGGTGGTAAACGCACGGCAGCCTACCCACTAAAACCTGACTGTGTCCGCCTCATTCGCCTCCTGGTCGGGGCCACGGGAACTAAAGAATCATCCGCGAACCCCGACGGCGATTGCCTTTCGGCACGTCTCGGTGTCGGAGGGCGGGAGCAGCGCCCTCAACGACGACGTCTGGAGTAGCGCGCGGGGGACACCGCGCGCGCCTACTCGGGCCAGGTGATTAGGCGGCAGACTTCCCCAAGTCTACCGCCCTCTGGCTGGTGCTAGGGGGGGAGGCGGCGATCGTGGGCCGCTCTCCGGCGCCCGGTCCTTTTGCGGCGGATAGCGAGATCGGAAGTCGCCTCCCTTTCTCTCTCCGCCGCCTCCTTCCGCGACATCACGTCCTCGCAGAAGGATAGGACGGCAGCCCATGACCTTTCGCTACCGACCATGGAGGAAACCACAGCCGGCAACGTCAGGTCAGCCCCCACAACACTTCGGAGCTCCTCGCGCTCCGATTCCCAGGCCGGGCACTCTTCAAGTACGTGCTGGGCCGACTCGTCAACGCAGCCGTGACAGTGGTGGCAGCGTGGATCCGGCTCTCTTCCGGTGACGCGGCACAGGTATCCGCCGAAGCACCCGTGCCCCGTGAGGACCTGCGTCAGCCGAAAGGTAAGGACGCCGTGACGTCTCGCCAGCCACTGCCTGAGGACGGGGCGAACCGCGTCGATGGTTCTCCGGCCAGCCGATGAGTGCTCCAACCTTGCGAGCCACTCCTCGATTGCGGCATCCCGCTCTTCATTCTCGTGTGGTGCTGGCCTGGGGTCCCCGGACGCAAGGCCTCGACGCCGACAATAGGTCGACGCCAAGGAAAGCGCATCCAGGTCCCAGGGTGTTACTCCGGCCAGCACGCACGCCACATCTGCCGAGATGGTCCGGTAACCCCTTATAACTCTCGTCGCCATAACTCGTTGCGACTGCCGCAAGACAGCCACATTCTCGCGACAGAGAGCATCTGCCCATACCGGGGCACCGTATAGCGCCATCGATCGCAGGACTCCAAGATAAGTAAGTATACCTAGCAATTAGAAAGAAACTAAATTTAGTAATTAGCAACTAAGATGAATTACTGTAGCTTGGTCAAATAAGGGCTTTTTTTTTATTTTTTTTTTTTTTATTTAACATGCCGTTTGAAATATTTGAAGATAACCAAGGTGTAATTAATATAGCATTGAATAATGGTAGTAACAAGAGACTAAAACACATAGATATAAAATATCAATATATACTAGAAAATGTCACAGAATGTTCTGTTACTCTGAAATATATTAGCACAATAAATAATATTGCAGATGTGTTTACAAAACCTCTAAGAAAACAGTTGTTTGTAAAATTTAGAAATAAGTTTTTTTCTTAATATCCTAGGTATAATATATAATTTATAATTTAACATTAAGGGGGTGCTTTAAAATGTAATAAATATGTAAAAAAAAAAAAAAAATTAAAACAAATAATATAATTGTTGAGGGGGTGTTCTGATTATGGCAACAATTATATTAAAATTATTTATAAAATAAGCCGGTAAAAGGTGTACACGTAGTGTCTAACTTAATAAATAATCAATAAAAAGTAATTTTATTTTCTCCCACTATCAACCAATATACAGGATGTCCCAGAATGAATGGATAATCCTGGAGCGCCTAATAGTACGGCTATCAAACGCTCTAATAAAAATAATACACAAAAAAAATCCAAGTGGTGCCAAAAATATGAGGTTTTTTAAAAAAATACATGACCTTACTCTACTTTCATATACACCACGGCCGCAAATTAACGAAATTTGTTGTGTTTTTGGTGTTATCTTTTTCCTCATAGACTATACTATTAGAAATGCAGTAAAGAGTATGAGTATCTATTGTACTTTTCGGAAAAAAAATATCAACTTCAATTTTTAGCATGAAATTTGATAAAAAATAATTTTGACAAAGTTTGGAGAGCCTTTCGTGAAAAAAAAAGTATGAAGACCTAAGCGGCCAGCTATTTCAAAAATATGCGCAGTTAATACAGATTACAAAATGGTATAATAAAATTTTTTACCTAAAGACAGAAAATTAAAAAAAAACTTATCTTGTCTTAAATGGTGACAATGACAAGGGCGTTTTAAAAAGAGTCCTTTTTATTATAGTAAAGATCGTATAATATCGGTATTTACTACCTGAGTGTGGCCCACGCGACCCATCTTTTGTTTATAAAACAAGGGCAGGTAGTGTATGAGCGAGCGAGAGAAGAGTATAATGGTAATACATTGTACCTTTCTCTCGCGACAGGGCACATAGCAAAGGCAAGTATTTAGTGCGTCTCTCGACTTGTTCGTTATCGCATGTGTATTTCTTTTGGAGTTCACTGTGATTTTAAAATCAGTGTTATAACGACGACTTTTGGCTATGTTATTGGACTCTTAGTTTTAATTAGTGATTTGGACTTTGTTTGGTGATTTTACGACGACTTGGCTTGTATCTGGACTGGAATTGTGTATTAAGATGCCACGTATTCAATATACGGCACAAGAATACGCAAAAATGCACCTTATTTATGGTGAATGCAGAGGCAACGCAAATGCTGCTGCAGCCCTTTATAGGGAAAGATATCCTACCGCGCGTCATCCGGATTACCGCGTATTTATCAGAGTCCACATAAGTTATTCGGAAGGTAGAATACCTGGCAGCGGCATTGGTGGTATAAGCGCTGAAAGACCAACTAATATCAATACACAAGACATTGTGCTTGACGAAATTGAGCAAGACCCGTCCACCTCTACTAGAGTAATAGCACGACGTACTGGAATCCCGAAGACGACCGTACACCGTGTACTTAAAATAAATAAATATCATCCCTACCATATTAGACGCGTCCAAGCTCTACAACCGAGAGATTACAACGCAAGATTGTTTTTTTGTCGACAAATGCTTACAAAAATAGAACAAGATTCACAATTTTTCGACAAAATTCTGTGGAGCGATGAATCCACTCTTAAAAAAGACGAATACTTCAACATGCATAATCTGCACAGCTGGCAACTTTCGAATCCGCATCTAATGCGAGAACAGAGATCACAATACCAGTTCAAAATAAATTATTGGACTGGTATATTAAACGGAAAAATCATTGGTCCATTCGAACTGCCCGGAAACTTATCAGGACAAATTTATTTAAATTTTCTACAAAGTGATCTTCCAAATTTAATGGAAGACGTGCCTGAGGAAGTGACACAATCCCACTGGCTACAGAATGATGGTTGTCCTGCACATTATGCTGCAAACGTCCGTGTATATTTAAATGCCACGTATCCAAATAAATGGATTGGTCGTTTGGGTCCCATTTTGTGGCCTCCGCGATCCCCGGACTTAAATCCACTAGATTTTTTTTACTGGGTTAACAAAAGTCCTGCAGGCTCTTGTGCACGAAATAAAACACTTAGTATAATTTAAGTATCTATTTCCTCGTAAAAACGATTCACACAAAAAAATAATGTTTAAATAACTTATACTTTACAGACTAACCAAACCATAGCGCGATTCAGAAAGTTGCATAAACTTAACAACGCCATCTAGGCGCCACTGAAGAACTAAAAATAATAAACTTATATTAAGGTTTATTGGTGTGTAAGTTTAATCCGGACAAACCGCCCACCAAGGACATAATGAGAAATGTCCTTCAAACCGCCCACCATGCAACAGTCCAACTGTAACGAATCACTCAACTAATAATTTATTTAGTTACAGGTAAAATTGCTATCTTGGAAGTAGGTCTTTTAATTAAAGAACTTTTGGTACGTATTGTGACGACCCGCGTGATTTTATCGGGTCCCGGATGTTTTTGCTCGATCTTGCCTAGCAACCATCGCGCCGGGGGTAGATCGTCCTCCTTGACTAAAACCACATCCCCCACTGATGGTTCTGGGTTCTAATATTCCCATTTATACCTTTGAAGGAACTGATGAAGGTAATCCTGGGACCATCGATGCCAAAAGTCCTGCATCATTCGCTGGTGGAGTTGCCATCTTCGCAAAGTATACATATTTGACGACTCATAATTTACATCAGGAACTACTATCAGTGGTTCCCCCACCAAGAAATGACCAGGAGTCAAAACTACGACCTCGGTTTGATCCTCTACACGAGACAATGGCCTCGAATTAAGACATGCCTCTATTTGAGATAATACTGTGGCCATCTCCTCATACGTCAACGTAGAGTTTCCAACTACTCGTTTGAGGTGGTACTTTGTGGACTTTATTCCTGCCTTCCATAGTCCACCGAAATTCGAAGCGCGAGGGGGAATAAAATTCCATTGTGTACCATTGGTCGCGAGATACTCTGCCAGTTCAGGTTTAAATTTAATTTTTTCTTCGTTGAACAGACACAGTAACTCTCGAGCAGCGCCCACAAAATTGGTACCGTTATCGCTGTATAACTCAGCACACCTACCTCGTCTTGCGACAAACCTTTTAAAAGCGGCTATAAACCCTTGGGTTTCCGTTTCCGGCTGTCCGTCAGTAAACATCTAAGTGAATCGTGCAGTCAAATAATAAAAATAAACAGATTATAATTATGTAAAAACGCTGAATGTAATGAAGATAGTCTTTAGAACTGCTGTGCAACGTTATCACAATCACAAACCGACGAAAGAATCCAAGAATATCAGAACTCTAATTGTACTATTATGTTCATTGGGATTTTAAGGTCAATTGTCAAATTAGTTATTAAACTAACACTTAGTGACTTAACTAATTCAAACAACACAATCTAAAGATAATCGCAAACCGTCAACAACAGAGGAGGTTATCAGTACTGCCAACTTGACAAATTGAGTTGACGTTCGGATACACCAATAAAAATATATCATAGATAATTTAACGTTCCGTTAAACGCTGTCATAATTGTGTTTTATTTGTTTGAACAAAAAATTACAATACAAAAAAAACATGGATCAGCAATTTCAAATGTTTTTTGACAAAATAAAAATTGAAATGGATAGGCAAACCAAAACGATTACTAACAATCTACTAGAAAAAATGGATGAAAAATTATAGCCGCTACTAGAAGAAAATAAAAAGCTAAAAGAGAAAGTTGAAATATTAGAAAAAAAGATATACAAATTGGAAAATGAAAAGAAAAGAAATAATGTACTACTCTTTAGATTAGAAGAGACAGAGAAAAGCTCATTAGACCTACTTAAAGCAGTAAAAGAAATCATGAAAAATGATCTTAACATTTCTATTGATAGTAGCGATATCCAAAACATTCACAGAATAGGAAATAAAAAGGATGAGAGAACTAGACCTTTTTTGATCTCGTTCACGAACTACTGGAAAAAAGCAGAAATTTTAAAACACAAGAAAAATCTAAGAGATGTTTACATAGTTGAAGATTACCCAAAAGCGGTGCTAGAAAAAAGAAAATTATTACAGCAACAACTTAAAGAGGAAAGAGCCAAAGGAAAATTTGCGTATATAAAATACGATAGACTGATAATAAAGGAAGATAATGTAACTATAGAAAAAAGGAAGAGAGAACAATCAACATCCCCAGGAATATATGCTAACCCTAAAAAACAAGTTAATGTGACCTCAAATACCAAAACAAAAAGCATTAAAGCCTACGACATGTTGAAAGCGAGATCAAACTCATTTTCTTCCATACCATCAAACAATAAAACCAACTAGCAATTAAATATCAGCAACCGGAGACGGAACAACCCCAACCCGGCTGGTCCCCGTGGGGTTGATAGACCACTACCCTCAAAAACCACTCCACCAACCAAAAAAAAAGAGACAAATAAAGTAGATATAGCAACTTTGAATACAAGAACGCTAAGAACTGAGGAAAGACTTATTGAACTTTTAGAAGCATTGAAGGATATTAGATGGGACATAATTGGACTCAGCGAAGTTAGAAGATCCGGAGAAGAAATAAAAGAATTTAAAGATTTTATATTTTACTACAAAGGAGAAATTCAGGGAAAAAACGGTATAGGATTTCTTGTCAAAAAAGGATTAAAAAAATATATAGATGAATTTATCGGAGTATCGGATAGAATTGGAATCTTAAATATAAAATTACCCGGCCTAAAAAATTCATTTTCAATCCTTCAAATTTATGCCCCAACTGATCAAGCAACTGAAAAAGAAAAAGATATATTCTATAATAGTCTTACAAAAGCAATGCAAAAGGTAAATAGAAACACGATAGTAATGGGAGACTTCAATGGTCAAATAGGAAACAAACCTAATATAGGAGAGTACATCGTAGGCAAATATGGACAGGGAAAGAGGAATGATAATGGCCAACGATTGATAAATTTTTGCTTTGAACACAACTTAAGAGTAATGAACACCTTCTTTCTCAAGAAAAATGGCAGAAAATGGACATGGATGTCTCCTAATGGCAAAGATAGAAATGAGATAGACTTTATAACTACCAATATGCCCAGGATTTTCAAAAATGTCGGTGTGGTCACAAATTTAAATTTTAATTCAGATCATAGACTTGTCAGAGGAACTATAGCATGCAAAGAAATAAAAATACAGAGAAAGAAAATCAAGGAAACAAACAGGACCCCATTATATATACCAGAACAAATCTTAAACGAATTAAAACAATCATTAGACATGGTTAAAAAACAGAATAGCGTACAAGATAAATATAACATGTTAGAAGAAACGCTAGTTAAAATAAGCAAATGTACGAGAAAAGATACAAATGACAAGCTCGGCGATGAAGCCAGATTGAAAATCAATGAAAGAAAAGAAATGATAAAAAACAGAAAAGAAAATCGTACACAAATAGCAATCATTAGTAAAGAAATCTCAAAAGCTATTAGAAACTATAGAAAATCACATCGGCTTCAAATTATAAGGGAACAAATAAACAAAACAGGGGGTATTAAAATAGCTTTGAAACAACTAAAGGAACATTCAACATGGATACCAAAAATAATAAAGAAAAACAAAGATAAAAAAGTATACACTACTAAACGTCAACATATTTTAAAAACAGCAACAAATTTTTACAAAGAATTATATACTGATGATAAAAGCGAACATACAGACAACACAACATTAAAAGATAACCTAGACCAAGAACCAATCCCACACATAATGCAAAGCGAAGTAAGAAGAGCTATTCAAACCCAAAAAGCAGGGAAAGCACCTGGGGATGATAAGATAACTAATGAATTGCTAAAAATCACCATGGAACAAATAATACAACCTTTTACACATATATGCAACGAAATTTTGAAAACAGAACAAATCCCTTCGCAATGGACATTTTCGACAATAATACTCCTACATAAAAAAGGCGATAAAAATGATATAAATAATTACAGACCCATCAGTTTAATGGCAAACTTGTACAAAGTGTTCACAAAGATAATATTAAAACGCTTGACTATAATACTAGACAGCAACCAACCTAAAGAACAAGCTGGTTTCCGCTCCGATTTCTCAACGATTGATCACATACACACCGTCAAACAAATAATTGAGAAATGCAACGAATACGACTGCCCGTACTACTTGGCTTTCGTGGATTATAATAAGCTTTACAGAGACTCTTTAAAGCATAGCTACATATGGGATTCATTAACAAATCAAGGAGTGGAGAGTAAATACATTAGGATAATTAAGCAAATTTATGAGAATAGCACAGCAAAGGTACAACTTGAAAGTATAGGTGATCAATTTAAAATTCAGAAAGGCGTTAGACAAGGAGATCCATTGTCACCAAAAATATTCAACGCGGTCTTGGAAAATATATTTAGGCAACTCAACTGGGATAACTTCGGCATTAATATAAACGGAGAAAAATTACACCACCTAAGGTTCGCAGACGATCTCATCTTGTTCGCAGAAGATCCTGTTACTCTACAAATAATGTTACAACAACTAGCAACGGAAAGTAAAAAGGCAGGATTAACAATGAATACTAGTAAAACCAAATTGTTGACAAACAAGGACAAAGTTGCAGTACAGGTGGCCGAAGAAGAGATCGAATACGTAAACGAATATATATACCATGGCCAAGTAATATCTGCAAAGGATCTGTCGAATAAGGAAGTTGATAGGCGAGTAAACAACACCTGGAAAAGGTACTGGTCCATAAGGGAAATTATGAAAAATAAATCTGTTTCCATTTCAGAAAAAAGGAAGGTTTATAACACCTGTATACTTCCATGTCTTACCTACGCCTGTCAGACCTGGCCACTAACACAGAAAATAGAACACAAGCTAGGTGTATGCCAAAGGGGAATGGAAAGGAGTATGTTGGGCCTGAAGTTGGAAGATAAATGGAAAAATACAAAAATCAGGAACATCACTAAAATAACAGACGTGAGAGTAAGAACTCGAACATTAAAATGGAAGTGGACAGGTCATATGATGAGAACACAAACGGGAAAGTGGACCAAAAAAGTAACAGAATGGTACCCAAGGAATGGAAAAAGACGTAGAGGGAGACAGGTTAAAAGATGGGAGGACGATCTTCCTAAGGGCTGGAGAAGGACAGCGCTGGATAGGCAAATGTGGAAGGAATTTGAGGAGGCCTATGTCGCAAGGCAGCCTGACCCGGTAGCTGATAAATAAAATCTTAGTTAAATATATATAAGATACATATAGTAAGAACAAATTAGTTTAAAAAAAATGTAGTTTAAATATCTTTAAATTTGTATGTATATAGAAAGGTCAGAGGAAATAAAGGCTATTTTTATTTTATTTATTTTTATTATAAACCCTTGGGTAGACAGCTCGCTCACCACTTCAAGATGTACAGCTCTGGTCGACATGCAAATGAACAGAGCAATATATCCCTTGTAAGACTTGTTACCCCTACCTTTCGACATTCTTATATTAATAGGCCCTGCGTAATCGACTGCGCTGACAAGAAAGGGCTTATTCGGTGTCACACGCGCGGAAGGTAGCTGCCCCATGAGTTGAGATGTGGACCTGCTCGAGTAACGCGTACAAGTTACACAGCCACGATAATATTTCTTAATTAGAGACTTTGCACCCACAATCCAATACTTCGATCTCAAATAGGTAATCATGAGTTGCGGGCCTCCGTGCAGGGTTTTTTGGTGAGCATCAGCAATTAAGAGTCCGCTTAAGCAAGATTCTTTAGGTATGAGAATCGGATGTTTCTCGTTAAATGACAGCGAAGACATTTCCAGCCGACCACCTACTCTATTTACACCTTCCGAATCTAAAAATATATTTAATGTCTTTAACCTTTTCTTTTTCTTATCTATTATGCTGTGTATTCGCAATTCTTCCAACTCCTTCCGGAATCCTTCTTCTTGACATTTTTTAATACAGACCTTTATCGAATCCTCAATTTCCTGTCGCTCCAATACTTCTGAACTTGGCCTACTACTTAAACCTTTACCTTATCCTTAACCAACGTCGACAATAAGCGACCACCCGAACAAGCTTCGAGAATGAAGAGAACCTTTGCCACAAGGTTGTGTTAACAACCGCTGTATGAACGTTAACCTGCTCAAGATTTGTAACCAGGTGTTTTGGTTTTTTACAAATAATTACCTTATTTTTTAGAAACGCTGGCCCTTCAAACCATATAACCATTTCTGATAGTTCCACCGGAGAAATACCTCTTGATGCAACATCCGCCGGATTCTTTTTAGTGGCTACATGGGACCAGTGATGTGTATCCAAAATCTGTAGGATTTCAGAAACTCGGTTAGCCACGAAGGTCTTCCACCGGCTTGGGTGATTATTAAGCCAGGCTAAAACTACCTCACTGTCAGTGAATGCATGTAACTGACCCCTTTCAACTTTCATAACTTCAGCTACCTCGACCATCAACTTAGCCAAAAGTACGGCCCCACAAAGCTCAAGTCTAGGGATAGACACCTGCTTTATGGGAGCTACTTTTGTTTTAGCTGTAACTAACGAGACGTAAACATTTCCCACTTCATCTACCACTCGCAGATACACGACAGCTGCATAAGCGACCTTCGAAGCGTCGGAAAATCCGTACAACTCGCGCTGATATTTATTACAAGTGTGTATCCAACGTGGAATTTTAATATTCTGTAAGGCAGTTAAATTTTGACGGTAAGTAATCCATTCCTTTATTAAATTAGTAGGAACTTGCTCATCCCACCCAATACCAGCTAACCAAAGCTTTTGTATGAGTATTTTTGCTGCTATAATGCAAGGAGCTAACCATCCGAGCGGGTCAAATAATCGGGATATATCAGATATAATTCTCCTTTTTGTTACAGGTTCCTGTTGCGGTGCAAGATCTACAGAGTACCGGAAGAAGTCACCACGCGGATCCCAAGTAAGTCCTAAAATCTTAGTTGTATCATCTACCTTAATCCTTAATTCCTCATCCTTATTACCCTTTGCTTTCCATATTTTAACTAATATTTCTTTAGAATTGCTTTTCCATTTTTGCAACGGAAACCCTCCTTTCGCTAACACTTCGGTTAACTCTTTATATATTTTATAAGCATCTTCTAGATTTTCCGCCCCAGTTATCACATCATCCATGTAAAAATCATTCAAAATAATTTTAGCAATTTCTGGCTTATTCTGACACTCCTTATAGGCTAATTCTTGCAGTGACCGCACAGCTAAATATGGAGCACATGCGGTGCCAAAGGTTACGGTAAGTAATTCAAACTCTTGAAGCTCCTCTCCAGGACTGTCTCTCCAAAGAATCCTCTGAAATGGAGTGTCTTCCCGATTTACCAGCACTTGGCGGTACATTTTCACCACATCCGCCACCAAACATATTTTATATTGTCTCCAGCGCATAATTGTATGACGTTGTTCGGCTTGCAGTGGCGGCCCAATCAATAAATCATCATTTAATGACTTCCCATTGCTTCCCTTACAGGAGGCATCAAACACTACTCGGACTTTAGTAATATCCTTATCTTCCCGGACTACTGCGTGGTGTGGTAAGTAAATAGCTGTTTTCTTAAATTTATCATTATTTGTAACTTCTACCATATGATTTAAGTTTAAATACTCCTTTATAACTTGTGTGTAATCCTCTTTTAACTTGATGTTCTTTTGCAATTTAAATTCTAAATTTCTAAATCTTTTTTCAGCTATTTTCCGGAACTCACCACGCATGCAGTCCGGGTTGGCCATACGAAACGGCAGTCTTACGATGAACCGACCGTCTTCATCCCGTATCTTAGTATCCTTAAATAATTTCTCACATTTATTTTCATCGTCTATGAGCATTTTTTTTGTTACAGGTGGTTCAGCTTCGAGTTCCCAAAACCTCTTCAGAATGTTGTCCACTTCTAGATACGAATGCATCACAATTGTGTGAGAATGGATATTTGACATGCTATCTACCTCACAGACACCAGATATTATCCAACCGAAAGCAGAATCCTGCGCCAAGAGAGATCCGTTGAGGTTTCTTTTAATGCCTTCCTAAATGATTTGACTGATGAATGAATGATTTGAATGCGATGATTTTTAGGCAACAATATAGGATGTTTGGCGTTAAATGACAGTGAGGATTTATTTAAACGTCCTCCTACGCGGAGTAAACCATCTTTATGAATGAACGGCGCATATGGTAACAAAGATTTCGAGACTTTGCGGTGTGAATTGATTGTCGAAATGTCGTTCTTAAAGACATGCGATTGTAAACAACGAAGAATAGTTACCTCAGCAACCTTAAGGTGTTCAAATTGTAAAAAGTCAGAGCGCGGAAGTTTACGAGTGAATCTTAAAATATAAACAATGATACGAAGTAGCTTGTCCCACGAGGACACGCGTGACGCGAGTTGAAGAAGAAAATTTTCTTCAGCGACTACGGTTGCGATGCAGACAATAAGAGATGGATTAATATTCTTATATTCATAAACTTTATCATTCGCGGTGTCATCAAATGTGAACCTATTGAGAGGCCACGACGCGGGGTTGTCACGAACCCATTGCGGGCCGTGCATCCATAGCGGATGAACTAATAGTTGCGCGGGAGATAAACCTCTAGAGATGCAGTCACTAGGGTTTTGTTTTCCATCAACATGGAAAAAATGACGCGGCGCGAGATACTCTTGTATCTTAGAAATACTATATTTATAATTAGCATAGTTCGTCATTTGTAATATTCATTGACTAGTTATAAGTGCAATATGTTTGAGTTATTGCAGATATGATACGGATCCTTATTTTCGTATTGAATAATGTGCTAATTATTTCTGCAATAAGTAGAGTTATTGCATTTATAATTACCATATTTCGTTTCTTGTGATTCTCATTTACTAGTTATAAGTACAATAAGCTTGAGTTATTGCAGTTATCTTATGGGATCTTATTAATGATAGTGGGATAAATACTAAAATTGGTTTAGTAAGTAGATATATTGCATTTATTTGTAGGAATATTAAACGAATACAGTATACTTACGCGAAATAAATTGCAATAAATTCACTATTTATTGCGTTTATAACTAGCACCAGGAGGTGAGGGGGGTACGAGGGGAGTAAAATATTTAGTGCAGACTTCTGCTGCAGCTGTAGCGGCGCTCGCTTACATCGAGTCGGACGAAAACACGCACGTGCGACCAGTTTGGGCGGTAAGTACCTAACGTATTTAATATTACAATATGTTTACATATCACGGATATTAATACGCTATGATGTTATTAGCCAGTGAATTACGTTTGCAGCAGTCAGGAGGTCGAAAAAAAAACCGAATAATTAATAATTATTTATTAATTTTACATTAATACAATAATTAGTGGGTGGACCATGGAAGGCCACGCTCCTTTGAAGGCCAACTATCAAAAAGTCGTAGTTATTGACATGTAAACACATATTCCTTCGGCTATACACTAAGATCCATCAAACTCAAGGCCACAGATGCGGCGGCGAGTCGCTCGCGCCGCTATTGTGGCAGTGCGATCTCACGCTTCGTAGACTTCGGTCGTCGACGTTACAATTGTTATTCGCGCGCACAGCAAAACGTAAGTTTTTAGTTAGATAACCTATTATTATTTCATATTTTTTTACTGTGAATTGTCGTATAATGGATATGTTTATGGTACTAAAGAAAAAAAAATAGTTTTGCCTCGATTTAAGTTAAAATATTGGTAGTGTTCCCATGAAAGCCGATGGTTCATTATAAGGCCAATCAAAAATTTGACAGTTGGCCTTGCTAGGGTACATGGGCCTTACAAAGAACATGTACAAAACATGAACATATGAACAGTTACTTTTTAGTTATAAATACGTACCGTTACAGTTAAAACAATGTTTTATATTTATAATATTTTTATTTATAAGGGTTATTAAACTTTTTAACTCATATTGAATAGACATTTTTTTTTAATTATTTTATTATCAGTATATATTTAAATTTCTTTTATGGAAAGGTTATGTCTGAAAATAAACTAAACTAATTTACATGAAAAGCAACGAATATAAAAAATATTTACATGTTAAAAACGGTAAAGTATGTGATAAAGTAAGTATGTGATAAGTTATATATAAGATAGTCATAAGATAGTCTGTCTATAATTATATTTTAAGCAAAAAAAACTTTATAACAATAAGCCGGTAATTGAATAGATGATTAAATTTTATGCGTATAATTTCAGATTTCAAGAACGTCGGAGTCAAAACCCAGGAAAAGAGGTAGTACATGGGATGAAGACAGTTTAAGACGTGCCATGGAAGCAGTACGAAATAATCAACTTAATACAAATACTGCAGCGTTGAAGTTCAATATTCCAAGACGCACCCTTAGAAACCATTTAGTAAGCGGTAACAGTACTAAAATAATTGGGAAGACAACTATTCTTACAAAACAATTAAAGCACTCGTTCAATATGTCAACAAGAATGGCTGGACGCAAATGGCTCAAAATGTTTTTGGCTCGAAACCCATCAATATCAAAAAGAAAACCCCAGCTAATGAATCCAGCTAGAGCTCAAAAAATGAATAAGCCCATTGTGAAAAACCATTTTGAAGAAGTGAAGAAACTCTATGAAGAGCTAGACATTATTGCACATCCAGAACGCTTGTATAACATGGATGAAAAAGGGTGTCGCATTACGGTCCAAAAACGAACTGTAGTTTTGGCTGAAAAAGGGAATACAAGAGTACATCTTGTTGCTCCGGAACACGCCGAGAACGTTACAATAGCGATGTGCGTAAATGCGGTGGGTATTGCTATACCGCCTATGATTATTTTTAAGGGGATAAGGCGCAGATCAGAATTAGCATCAAATTTGCCACCTGGAACAAAGGTAAGCATGGCACCCAAAGGCAGCATGACCAGTAGCTTATTCGTAGAGTTCATACAACATTTAGCACAACATAAAGTACCCGGTAAATGTCTGCTTATCTTTGATGGCGCAAAGTGTCATTTATCATATGAGTCTCTGGAAGAAGCAGATAAAAATAATATAGTACTATACTGCTTACCTTCGAACACCACTCACGAACTCCAACCTCTAGATAAATCAGTGAATCGGTCCTTCGAACATCACTGGGATGAAGAAGTTTTGAACTACCTGTGCAATTCTCAAGAGAGAACTTTAAACAAAGCTGCGTTTAACAAAATTTTCTCCCGAACATGGCCAAAGTGTATGACTCAAACCAATATAACGAATGGATTCAAAGCCACTGGTTTATACCCCCTTGATCCTGATGTAATACCCGAAGATGCTTATGCTCCTTCAATTGTAACTGAAAGACCTTTATCGGAAATGTTACAACAACAGATCGACCAACCACTTATATCTGTTCAAGTCTCGCCCCCTGTGTCTGAATTTAAAAAAGTGTCAGAATTGTCGTCTCAGTCTCTAATAGATGAAAGGAGGTCAGCTCATGTTTCTAACGTTTCTTCAATTTTTCCATCAACTTCCACAGAGAAGATAGTATCGACATCGCCAAAATTTTCAGCTGCAACAGCAAAAAGAAAACCCGTTCTTGTTTCTTACAGTTCTTCAACTGATGCTTCAGACTTAGAAGTAGATATTACGGTCAATGATCAGTGCCGCCCCATGCTGCTAAGTTCAGTACATCGTTTCAACGTCGCAGATACGAAACATGACCCTCAACCATCTCTGTACGATTATCCTCTTCCGAGTACGTCCGGCCTACAAGAAAATATCGTCTGTTCTAGCTCTGAATCTGATCTTGATTTGAATCTTAGTGAATCATTTATCAAAGATAACTACATGACTAAACTTCAAGTCTCGGATTTATGTCTCTGGTGTGATTTTTAAATGCCGACCCATCACGTTATTTATTCTTTCTTCCACACAGCAGCTTTTGTTTTTCGCGCGCGATGGACATGCAGCAAGTGTGTGGGACGCGGGGCGGGGCGGCGGGAGTGTTAATCCGTGAGTCTGTTAGTTAACGACAGGAACTAGCGCAGTTACGACGTCAACGACTATTGATTTAATAATAATATAATTACGATTAGACTTTGATAACCCCATACGATATGGATAAGTGGTTGAAAAGAAACGCTGAGGAAACCTCAAATGAAGAAACAAATGCTTCTGAAGGTTCATCAAATAAAGTAAGATAATATTTTCGGTATTTTTACTATTGCAAGCGAACTCCCTTCTACATAAAAATAAGTAAACGCTAAGTACAAATTAAAAAAAGCTGATTATTCCCGAATACTGAGGTATAATTATTACGTGTCGTGTTCGTGTCATTGACCTCTCAAGCGCGACACGTCGCGCGTCTATTACTTAAAATTATTATTATTATTATGGTGCATGCTCGCTAATTTTTGCAGTGTATTATAAAACAAGTATTATTTTACTCATTGGATCAAGCGAATTACTCACTTAGTAAGTGGGTATCTCCCAAAAGTGTAAATAAATAAAAACTTAAAAAAATGGGTGCTTGTAACCTTTACGCGCGGTTGAAGTGAAACTTCTTTAGCGTATATCACAATTAAATTAAAACAAATCAATAATTAAATAAGGCATATTTGTCAGACAATAATAACGGTTACCACGACAACAGTTAGTCATAATAGCTTTTACTTAATTTATGCACATTCATCCCACAGTAATAAATATTAATTTTTATTAGTAATAAGTTTAGTTTTTTTTACCAAGTTTAAAAGTTACTTTACATTTTATTTAACATATATTACATAACATATTATTCAGTAGGTATTATTTTTCACTTCCCGTGTAATGTATTCTATCTCATTATCTCGCCGGCTTAATTCTATATATTTATGTTCTTTTCTCTTTCTCGTGTCGCATTTTCGTTTCATCGAGTTTTAAATCACAGCGATTCTACAAAAGTTTCACTTCAAAAATAGTGCTCACTCGCTCGCTATCTTTGTACCATCATTACGAAAATAAATTTAATTTACATTTAATTCTTGTGGTGGGATATTTCTACTTTTATTATTATACGAATTTTATTCTTTATATTATATTAATTTTATTTTTGTAGATCCTCAAAAAATGTGCTCCAAAGAAATCCAAAACTTATCACTTTCATCAAGAATGGGAACTGGACTAATTTTTTACTATGGTGAAAGAAAACTGTTGCTGCTTAATATGCAATACATCCGTGGCAATACCGAAAAAAGGAAATTTAGAGCGACATTTTAAAACAATGCATAGTAAATATCAGACAGACTTTCCACCTAACAGCGAAATAAGAAAGAGTAAATTGAAAGCGTTGAAATCACAACTAACAGTCCAAGATAACATGTTTTCTAGGCCTATTGAGCAAAATAAGGCTGCAACTAAAGCGTCTTTCTATGTAAGCTACAAAATTGCACAAAAGTGCAAACCTTTTTCCGATGGAGAATACATTAAGGAAATTTTCGAGGAAATGTCAGATTCGCTGTTCGTGAATTTCAAAAATAAAAACCAAATTAAACAAGCTATTCATGATTTACAACTGTCTAGAAATACTGTGATGCGCCGTATAGAAACAATGAGTAAAAACATAAACGAACAACTACAAAAAGATATCATCCGCTGTGTTGCGTTTTCGCTACAACTTGACGAGTCAACAGATATCACCGATACTGCACAATTACTTATTTTTATTCGGATGGTTTTAGATGATTTCTCGATAAAAGAAGAACTGCTAAGTATGATTTCCTTAAAAGGAAAAACTCGTGGCCTTGATATATTCACAGAATTCAAAGCATATATTAGCAAGATTAATCTACCTTTGTATAAACTCGTATCAATGACAACTGATGGGGCTCCTGCAATGACAGGAATCCATAATGGTTTTATTGCTCTTTGTCACAAAGACGAAGACTTTCCAAACTTTATTAGTTATCACTGCATAATTCATCAACAAGTGCTGGCTAGTAAGAGACTAAACACAAAACATGTTATGGATATTTCTTTCAAGATTGTAAATTCCATAAAAGGAAAATCTCTCCAAAGGCGGCTCTTTAAACAGCAATTAGATGAAAAGGAACCAGATTTGGCATTGCACACTGACGTAAGGTGGTTGAGTCGAAGCAAGTTTTTGCAAAGATTTTGAGATCTATTGGATGAAATAATAAAATTTCTTGGAGAGAGAGGTGATGATTATCAGCAACTGCGTGATTCAGACTGGCAATGTGATTTAGCATTTTTAGCAGATTTTACTGGAAAACTAAGCACATTAAATCTGGAATTACAAGGCAAAAATAAAACTTTAATAGAAATGACGAGTTCTGTTACAGCATTTCAGAGTCAAACAGCGTCTATGATAGTTGACATCGAAAAAAAAACATTTCAACAATTTGTAAATTTAAAGGATCACATGGAAAAAAATATTACCTACGATTTCATCCCTGATAAGTATTAGGTAGTCCATTAAAATAAATTACTCCTTGTCTATGTTTATATATTTCCGCTTCCCGTCAGTGTCGCTGTCTTCGCCATCGCAGTTTGTAAAATAAAAAAAAAATGTCTTCTGCACACACTGTCACGCACGTATGTTTTATAAGTCAAATAAATATATAATGCCAAAAGTTGTTTTAAGTCTCTAAACCTAAAAACCTGATATGGTGTCAGAAGTAAAAGTCAATAATAAGATACAAAAGTCAATAAGAAGAAATGGATCAAGAAAAGAAATCGCACTCGTCGCCATTACAGCCATCACAGGTAACAAGTCCCAATGCATTAATCGGCCCAGGTTTTATAAAACCATTGGATTTAAAAAGCGACAACATGCCTCTGAGCTGGAAAAACTGGATAACGCAGCTAAAAATTTATTTACGAGCTAACAACTTGGAACACGAACAAGACAACCGCAAGGTCGCCATCTTGTTACATTTTATAGGCGCCGAAACGCTACAAATTTTCTACTCGTTCAACGTGTGTATTGATACCGTAAAATTTGATGCCCTTATTGAGAAATTTACACACCACTTTACTCCTCAAGTCAACATCACCATGGAACGCCATAAATTGTTTGACCGACGTCAGGGAATAGAAGAATCCATTGATGATTACGTCACTGACCTAAAGAATATAAGCAAACAATGTGAATTCAAAGAATTAGAAGACTCAATCCTAAGAGACATATTTAGTTGGAACCTTACACCTCAAAATCAGTACATTAAAGAAAAAATATTACTAAAAAAGCCACATACGTTCGAAGCAGCTATAAACATTGCTAAATGTGCTGAAATAACAAAAATACAAGCGAAAACCTTAGAAGATACAACATTTGTAGGCCAAATACAGACAAATAAACAAAGAAACAGGTCAAGACATCGCCAACATCAGCCAAACATCACCAGACAGTCCAGCCGTTCCAGACAATATAGCAGTTCAAGACGGTCAAATACTACAGAACAACCAAAATGCAGTCGATGCGGACAGATACATCGTTTCAAATGTCCAGCCAAAGGAGTCAAGTGTAATAAGTGTGGTAAATTTAATCACTTTGCAGCTGTATGTCACTCTAAACAGGTACAAAATATCAATTTAGATCTTAATCAGTCTAATAATAATCTTTTTGTAGGCACAATTCATATTAATAGTATTGAATCAGAGTCATGGCAAACCAATTTATTAATAAATAATGTATGTGTTAATTTCCTTCTAGACACAGGTGCTGATACTAATATATTGTCATATCAAACATGGAGTAAATTAAATATGTCACCTAACTTACTCACCAAAAGTCTACACAAATTATCTACTTATAGTGGCGAGTCCATTCCAACTGTAGGTCAATGTACCCTACCTCTATGTCATAATGGAAAAATATATAATGTTTTATTTCATATTGTCAACATGAATGCACAGAATATAATAGGCAGGGATACTTGTAAAACTCTCCAACTTATTAAGAGAATTCATAAAGTAGAGATAAATAATAGTCCAAAAATTATGTCTGATAATAGTGATTTATTTCAAGGTTTAGGTTGCTTAAAGGATTTTACTTGTGAGTTAACAGTTAAGCCGGATGCAACTCCAAGTATAGATGCTTGTCGTCGAGTCCCATTTCAACTAAGAAAAGTATTAAAAGCAGAGTTAGACGAACTAGAGAAAAGCAATATCATTTGTCGTGTCGAAGAGCCTACCGACTGGGTAAATTCACTTGTCATTACTACAAAAAAGAACGGTAAGTTAAGACTCTGTATAGATCCTCGCAAACTAAATAAAGCTATTATGAGACCTCGTTACCAATTTCCTACTCTAGACGAAATAAAGTCAGATCTTGTCGGGTCGAAATTTTTCACTACACTAGATGCCAATAAAGGCTTCTGGATGCTCAAACTCTCTGAGTCTTCCTCAAAATTATGTACTTTCATAACTCCTTTTGGAAGATATAGGTATACACGTCTACCATTTGGCATAAATGCCGCACCAGAAATTTTTCATCGAGAAATGGTCAAACGGTTTAGTGACATAAATAATGTTAAAATAATGATGGACGATTTTCTTATATATGGCAAAAGTCTTAAAGAACATGATGAAACCTTACAAAAAGTCTTAAATAGAGCTCGTGAAATTAATATTAAATTTAACAAGGAAAAATCAGTCATTTGCGCTACTGAAGTTAAGTATTTAGGACACATTTTCAGTCAAAAAGGTGTTCAAGTTGACCAAACAAAAGTAAAAGCAATTTGTGACATGCCCAAACCCAATTGTGTTAATGATCTTCAAAGATTTATGGGTATGGTCAATTATCTTAGTCCTTTTATTCCCAATTTGTCTAAAGAAAATAGCCTTTTAAGGACACTTCTGTCTAAAAATGTTGAATGGTCATGGTCTGAACAACATGAAGTAGAATTTAATAAAATTAAAAATCTAATAAGTAGTGCTCCAGTTTTAACTTACTATGATCCAAGTAAAGAATTAACATTATCAGTAGATGCTTCAAAAGATGCCCTAGGTGCTGTAATATCACATAATAAACAGCCAATAGCATATGCATCAGCCTCTCTAACAAAGTGTCAACAAAATTACTCTCAAATTGAAAAAGAATTAATGTCTATATTATTTGGTTGCACAAAGTTCCATCAGTACATATATGGTAAGACAGTCACAGTGGAAACTGATCATAAACCACTTATATCACTGTTTAAGAAAGCTTTATATGACATTCCTGTTAGACTACAAAGAATAATGATACATATTCAGCCATATGATCTAAATGTAATATATAAGCCAGGTCGTTATCTCTATATAGCAGATACCTTGTCTCGTGCACCATTGTCTGAAAATACATTACTAGATCTCGAAAACGACATAGATTTACATGTTAACTTTATAATATCTAATTTATCAGTTAGTCAGGAAAAGCTAGAACAAATTAAGAATTCTACTTATTCAGATCATAACCTAAGTAAAGTCATACAATATTGCCAAAATGGATGGCCAGAACATAAAAAGTCTGTGGGTCAGTCTATTAAACCTTATTTTTTAATAAAAGACCAACTACATGTCATAGATAACATTCTTTTCATGTCTGATAAGATTGTTATACCAGAGTCTATGAGAGATTATATTATTAATTTGTCTCATGAAGGACATCAAGGAATAAATAGTACCATTAGGTTAGCTAAGACTACTGTCTATTGGCCTAACATTAATAATGATATAGAAAAATATATAAACCAATGCCATATTTGTTTGACATATCGTAGAAATAATAGTAAAGAACCAATTGAACATCATGACTACAAGTATTTGCCATGGAATAAAGTCGGTATTGATATGTTTGATTTTGATCACAAAAAATACTTAATTGTCATAGATTATTTTTCAAAATATGTAGAATTGGCATTGTTAAGTTCAGGCTCAAATGCAAATATAGTAATAACTCACTTAAAGTCAATATTTGCTAGACATGGCATACCTGAATTTATAATATCTGATAATGGTCCCCCCTTTACAAGTAAAGAATTCATAGTAAAGAATTCATATCTTTTGCCAAAGACTGGGATATAAAACATATTACTACTAGTCCATATTTGAGTAGACCTAATGGTATGGTTGAATGAGCTATCTATACTATTAAACATATGTTAAAGAAATGTAAAGCAAATAATACAGATCCATACCTTGCCTTACTTCTTTATAGAAATACACCAAAAAAGACTGGATCTTCACCTGCACAACTTTGTATGTCTAGATATTTAAGAAATAAATTGCCTATCACTGATTTGCACTTGTCACCAAGGTTAGTCAATTTAGAATCATATAAAAGGAATAATGAAAAACTTAAGTCTTACAGTACAGTTTATTATAATAAAAATACAAAACCTTTGTCACAACTTCAAAAGGGTGATAAGGTATACTTTAAACATAAGCCACATAGTGTCTGGGTTCCTGGAACAATCTCAAAAGCTTGCAGTGAACTTCGTAGTTTTATTGTAGATTCATCACTAGGAGAATTCCGTAGAAACCGCCAGCATATTTTGAAACCTGTAACAAATAATACAGTAAATAATAATGTTAATAATGGTAATATCACATGTACAGTCAGTCAACCAAAAATGTCAAGCTACGGTCGTATTATAAAATCACCACAACGATATGGTTATGATTAAAACATATATGTAATGTATGTAGTAGGTATGTACCTAATGTTGATTTCTTTTGTGTAATAGTTTGTTAATTGTTTCCATGTAAATGCATGCAAATGTAAGTTGTCAAATATGTCAGTTGTCATGTCTAATGTCAATGTCAGTGTAATGTTACGTTTTGTTCATAAACAAAGTTTCATGACTTACCTTTAAGTCCTGGAATTTTATTATAAAAAAAAAAAGGAAGATATTAGGTAGTCCATTAAAATAAATTACTCCTTGTCTATGTTTATATATTTCCGCTTCCCGTCAGTGTCGCTGTCTTCGCCATCGTAGTTTGTAAAATAAAAAAAAATGTCTTCTGCACACACTGTCACGCACGTATGTTTTATAAGTCAAATAAATATATAATGCCAAAAGTTGTTTTAAGTCTCTAAACCTAAAAACCTGATAATAAGTACACAGCAGAGATTAAGGCATGGTATTAGACTTTGAAAATCGATTCAATGATTTTAAGAAAATTGAGGAATTGGTGGAATTTATCAGTTATCCATTTAATGATTCCATTTCTCATAGCGATATTTATGAAATGGCTAAAAAATTTGCTGATACATTTCAGATGGATCACATGGTGTTACAAAATGAAATTATTACTCTACGCTGCGACATATTTCTTAAAGAAAGGTCATCCTCAGATCTAGATTTCTGGGCATTGGATTCCAACGAGAAATATCCAAATTTAAAGAAATGTGTTGAACAACTGCATTCGTGTTTTGGTTCAACATATTTATGTGAATCAGCATTTTCCTATCTAAAACAAACAAAAAATAAACACCGCTCTCGCTTGACAGATGCTCATACTTTAGATTCTTTAAGGTTGGCAACTTCCAAATACACACCTGATTTTAGTTATCTAGCGGAAGATACTCAGGCGCAGTGCTCTCACTGATATTTAAGTGTAACTAGTAATATATTTCATTTTATGTTTTCCCTCGTAATAAAAAAAAATACTACATAATTGTATATACTGAACTAGACTGTTTCATTTAAAATGTTAAGAAATATTTGTATAAATATTGTATAGTAGATCGCACTGAGATTCGTAAGTATAAAGTCGATCTTGGGTCTAATCAAGTTGGCCACCCCTGTAATAGAGGATAAAGAAAAATCGTTTCATGCTTTTTTGCCTACTCCAAACTACGCTACAATAAAGTCTTCACGTTCACGGCAAAAAGCTATTAATTATAAGGGACAAAGAATAGTTAAAGATTTATTCAAGACTGAAGAAAAAAAGAATGAGATGAAGCAAGCGACGAGTAAGAAAAAAGGAAAGTCTACAATTAAACGAGACCAAAAAAAAAAAAACCAAAATAAAAATGATTCCGTAAAACGGCTAAAAAGAACAGTACAACAAGAAAACAGTAAAAGATCGAAAATAGAGATGAAGAAAAGTGCAGAAGGTGAAGAAAAGGAATGGTACTGTCACGCATGTGGCGAGAATCGAATGGAAGACATGAGACAATGTACCGAATGTCAAAAGTGGTATCACGAGGAGTGTATGGGTCTCACTAAAAAAGATCTCAAATTTATATGCCCAGATTGTGATTAAAATATCCAAAATTATTATCCTTTTTAGTTTCTAAGTTTGTTTTCGAAGTTAATTTTTATTTTGTTACAATTATTTTCGTTTTTTAATATTAACACTTTCGGGCCAGCAACGTCTCATGACGGCTAAATTAGAAATTAAATAATTGACACAACGTTTAGTCACGTCTACTTTAAACGTGCATTTATTCGCCCTACGTTTCATAACGTCAGGAGTCAATACGATATTCTACTAAAGAGGTATTTGCGCCGCATCGTTTGGAAGTTTCAAAAGTCTACTGCCGCAACGAATCAACTTTTAGTAGCATTTTGCTAACATCCGTCACGCGCACACATGCTCACATACGCATACCCACAACGTCCGTACACGTCGCGGGGAGTAGCGACGCAGCTAGCTTCTGTCGTTCTGCGCCGCATCAAGAGGAGCGCGTGCTGCGCGAACGTCGCTCAACCGTATTGAAGTGAACGATAAACCGTAAGATTTTTATAATATGTCTATTTTTAATAATAATTATAAATAAGTGTGTATATTTAAATGTATATTACATTTATTTTTGTATAATTATAATAATTAGTTGATATATTTTAATTTTGATATTGTTTTAGATGGATAAAAAGCGTGTCTACAGTAAGGGGTTTCTGAAGGTATTTGAAGATTCTTCGTCTTGGGAAGTTACTCCTGATCCTTTCAGTGATGATGGAGAGTACGATACTGACAAGGATTACGATCCAGAATCCATAAATACCGATAGCGACGTAATTCATCCACAGCAAGGGTACACAGTAATGGGGATAGAACTCCCCCTTGCGGACATCCTCTTGCTGTGGATATATAGATAGCTGTATCGTGGAGGGCTAGTTTTGCTTTTCTGCTAGTGAGCATAGATTTCACCCACTTTACCGTTGTTTGGTCGACATTTTTAGTTATCAACCCATTTACCAACAGCGAAGTAGAAGAGTTATCAAAAGCACCTTCGATATCTAGAAATGCACATAGTGCTATTTCCTTGTCTTCTAACGCCTTTTCCACTTGGTCTATAAGACTTGTAAGGGCAGTCTCGGTTGATTTGCCTTTACGATATGCATGTTGGTTAAAGTGGATTGGACTTTTAGTCAAGACTTCAGCTCTTATATACCTATCCAGTACCTTCTCCATTGCTTTGAGTAAGAATGAAGAGAGGCTTATTGGTCTAAAAGACTTTGGCTGGCTATAGTCTTTTTTACCAGTTTTAGGTATAAATATGACCCTGACATGGGTCCATATATCTGGTACATATCCCCAGGCGAAGCTCGTTCTGAAGATTTATATATTCAGGTGGGGAAGGAGGATGTTCACCCCTTGCTGCAGTAAGATTGGTGGTATCCCGTCTTCCCCTCTCGCCTTGTAGGGCTTAAAGGAGTCTACGGCCCACCGAACATGGTTGGGTCTTATGATCTTGGCAGCTTCGCACCAGTCCTCACTGCGAGGTCTAATAAACTCACGCAATTACCGTTACAAAGATACAGATTCCGAAGAAATCAAAAAGTAAATGTCAACGTGATAGGACTTTGATAGTCGTTTTACATAAGCATAATTCACTTTCAGTAACGCAACGTCTATGAACGTCAACGTAACTAAACGTTGCTCTTAGGTTTCTATACCTTATATTGACTGTATGCGACGCAGCGTTTATTAATGTCAACGTGATTTGACGTTGTGTTCTAGCTTATGGTAAATACTCGAACTATATGTGACACAGCGTTATAAAACGTCGACGTCTCTCAACGTTTGTGTCGCATCAAAAATTAATCTTGCACACATGAAGAGCACAACGTTTATCAACGTAAATCCAATTTGTATGGGGAAACGGTGTGTCACAATGCGAGAATCTTCTTACGGCGGCGCTGGGCCGAACGTGTTAAGAATCGTTGATTTTAAACATTCCTGACTTCAAGACTGACTATGTACCATAATACGTTTGTAATAAGTACAGTACTTAGTCTGTAGTGTCTATTATTTTATTATAATTAATATAAGAAAGTCATTGATAATTTTTAGTTTGGCCTTCTTAGGAACATTTTGGCCTTACAAAGAACGGACCCATAAGAAGGCCATTTGAGGTAAAAAAAAAGTTTTTAATTTCATTATAATACGCGTTGGCAAGTTATTTGATGTCAATATAATACTCATTACTACTGTTTTTAAATAATTTCCATTAATATATTCTTAGTTATAAGATGGTGTTCAAGTAATGTTCGTTGAGTTTTTTATAAATGATAAAAATATATTGAGCATTTAATGTTTTGCTTAAATGAAAGAGCTTATTATGTAGTTTTAGTAAAAGCGAATATATTAATTGTTACAACTCTATTTTTAAGTTGAACGACTGATGTATAATATTGGCCTTGTTTGGAGCCGTGTTCCTTGCAAGGCCATTTGGAAGAGCTTAACAAAACTTAAGTTTAATGAATACTGATTAAATCTAGGTTAAAAAAAGTGATTTATATGGTACACAATAAAACAAACTATTATTTGATAATTTGTTTTTTTTATTTATCCAGTTAATAAACGAATAAAAAGCGTTTACTCGTTAGAGTGGCCTTCCATGGTCCACCCACGTTATATCTTAAAACTAACGACGTCTTTACTCGAAGTATGAATAAAGAGTGATTGGAAAAGTATTACAATTAATAAAATTACTAAATTGAAACAATGCGGCATTACAAAACTAATTCGGGGAACTCGGCGGTGGTCACCTGGGAAACGTACATTTATTTGATATTATGTCAGCATATTCGTGGGATTAGGGTTCCGTAACTCCTCCACCCCTAGAGAGGCAACTATTTGAGAATATTGAGTGAAAAATTTGCCGGGATACTTGTGTCCTTAAGATTCTCTGGATTATCTCCATTTTCTAAAATTTCTTCCTTTTTTGCAGTAGTTTTCTTATACTTTCTATAGTGTAATAAAATGATAAGTGCACCTGCACTGAATAATATTGCGTACACTGGTATGGTTGTATGATATACTGTAATATCCTTTTCGCGTTCAATTTGTAGCGATGATTGTATCATAATATTGTCCTTGAGTCTATGGAGTCCTTGGATATTTATAGATGATATATTAATAGTTGTATCTAGGTGCGCAATTTCATCGGGTATCTTCATCAATTTTAAGGGCTGTCCTCTTACTTCGTTGTTGTCATTAATTAACGTAAATTCTTCGGATATGATTTTGCATCCTAGGGGATAGTTATGAGGTAGCTGCCTTTTAATGAAGTGAATTCCTGTTTACCGCATGATATTTGTATCTTTTGATGCTGGGGGAACGATATAAGGTAGTGCATATCGTCCAGTTTCTCCATTGATTCTCGTAGAAGATTGACTGTAGTTAAGTGACAAGATTCCTTCAAAATCTGTTTAATAATTAGCTCGTGGATACAATCTGAATTTGTACGAATCTGATGATTGAGTTCCATTTCACAGAGATACCAGCTGCTATGTCTCGGGCATTCGGCCTCTATGTACACGAATGAATTCTCGTTAGTTGCAATGAAAGGAGAGGATGGGATGAGAGCCTGTGATATTTTATTAGGTACTACTGCTAATCTATATAATAAAAAATTATCCTTAGAAATAATAGGAATTCGGAATATAAAAACTATTTGCTTATTAGCATAATAAGAAGCTGGTTGGATTATATTATAATATTCTCTTAATTCTAAATTTAAAATACACTTTTTTCCGTAGATATTCAAGAGCTTTTTCTATTGTTAGTGGTCGCATACAACGAATGCGGGACCCTAATGGTTCCTTAAGACCACGAAAATAGGCCTGCATAGTTACCTTTTTATACAGATTGCGTTTTGCTTCGATAGTGGTGGATAGTGTCTCATGCAGTGTAACGTACTAGAGTAAGATCCCGGTGCCCCCAGACGTTACTTATTTTCTCATAAGAAATATAAATGGGATAAAGTAGTGTTAGTACGTACTTTGAGTGTGTGCATACCTGCAACCTTGGGTCGACGGCCAATTCATAGGTACCAGGTGCTAAAGGTAGATAAATACAGTACTGATTTTTCTTAAATTCTCAGTGCTGATTTTTACATATGTTTTAGATATTGTTGTTAGGTTAATAATCATTATTGCCAGACACTTTCCATCGGCGCTTACCCTTACCAGACGCTTTAAAGCTTCAAAAAAAAAATAACATATTCTTACTTATAATCTCACTCTTGATTTTTATGTATGATACTTGGGGAACTATTTGAACACCCCTGGTCAGCAGCCAGACCAATTGGAGGGGTCAAACATCCCCCCAGACACACATAAAGTGTCGCTATGTGTATAAGCGCGAGGTCATTATTTGTACGCTTGAGTGTGAGAGAGATATTTATTTATGGATATCTTTCTTATACTTATTGACGTCTCTAGGCTACTCTATTCAGTGCTACTTGATTCAGTGCATCTGTCATTTTATTTACAACGTGTTGAAATAAAAAAAAAATATTTATAGTATTCTAAAAAATATAATGGCAGAATTATTAAAGTGTGTGTTTTGTGAGAATTCCGATGTGAATTTAATATTGTTTACGGAAGAAAACTCGGCGATGTAGACTTATTCAGTGACTTAGAACTGGAGCAAAATGTGTTCAACACTATACAAAAATTTATTTGTGAACTGTACAACGTGGCCGGAATAATTGACGTAGATGCTGCCCGACTCCAACTCTTCATCAACACTTATATGGTTTGTGACGTAAATGAAGAGTTCAATCGTAAAAATGTGAAAAACTTTGATGCTAGTAACTTACCACCATGCAAAAGTGAGCTTTCACAGCAGTTTCGACGAGCTAATTATATAACTAGTCTCTGGAAGAATGCTCATATGAAGAAAATTAGTATTTTTAGTCCTGACAATAATGGGTGGACGTTGAAAGATAATAAATATCATTTTAACTGGTTCGATGGGGACCAATTGCCGAGCTTTGTCATTGAATCGCTTCAAGAAGAATCAGGTAC